TTTTATTGGTCAAAAGGATTTGAATTTGAGTATCCATATTTTCTATGTGTGAGATCTTGCAAAATATTAATACTTTATATGTATGAAAACACACACACACACATATATATAATAGGCCATTCTAGCCAGTAATATTTTTAAACAGGGACATTTAAATTATTTTTCCTATTGGACTCAACTATATGATGACCAATCCTTTTCTTTCTTTTCTTATTCCCCCCCCCCCCAATTTCAACATAGGCTGCTGCAAACGATGCCAACCTAGCTAAATTGCCTCATTTAATTTTCTAGAAGAGCCTGTGATAATAATATTTTAATTATTTCTTGGCTGCCTTAGCTAAATCTAATTAGGTTGGAATAGAATTTCTACGTAGTCCATGACTTGCAAACAGGGAAAACCAAAGCAGAAGAAAACACAAATTTGGATTCTTTAAAGCCTGTTTTGTCCCTCATGAAAATTTCTTTGTGAAAATCAAGTATATAATTCCAGAATTGAACCTAGAACATTCGAATAAATCAATCTTACATTTGATTTCACACTACGCTCAAAATGACTCTAAAATTCAATGCTTAGTAACAGAAAGCCTTGTCACGTTACCAAGGTTTAATTACATTATATGAATTGCACAGTGCCATTATAATAATCGAATATATTGTGTATCAGAATTAAATCTGGAAGACACAATAATCCCTTTACTATATGAAGACTCTAGTGGATCTAATTCGTAGAATTATGATTTATTTCTGCAGTACCACGTATATATTGACATATTCATCTTCACTTCCCGGCTCCATGCTTTCAAAAAGTGCATTTGGAAGTACTACCTCCGATCCTTAATATAAGATCCTATTTGACTTTTATTTTGATCTTAAATATAAGATCTTAATCTATTTTGTCTCTTATATTTATGTATTTTTTTCCAAGGTATTCATTCTAATAATTGTAGTTCCAGCCAATATAGTTGATTAGTAAGGATATTTTAGGAAAGACAACACCTATTTATTACAAATAATTAACTTAACTTCTGTCATTAATCTCCTCAAATTAGTCAACTGGGTCTTATAATTAGGACTGGAGGTAGTATATGTTTAGATCGTGCCACAACCTTGAAAGTAGGCACCAATCTTTGCAAACCAAAGCTGATATTGTGATTCAGATAATGATGATAACGACATATTTCAGAAATAAATTTATCTTTCCAGCTTTCTGCATAATTTACCGGAATATATAGTAACTTTTCTGTGCAATTTTCACAAGACAGACAAAACAAAATTCAATTACAACCATGTAATGAGACCAATTACACAACTTGAACACTTTGTGCCTACACAAAAACCTCGTGCTTTTTCTCTTGTTGTTATCATCACAAGGCTCACTGGTAAGGCATGATCCCCACCAGAGATTATGAAGATAGATAAAAGAAACAATGATCAAATCCTAGTATTATACTTGTGAATGACTTCCCTTGAACACCGTGGTTTGAGAAGAAGACTTGGAAGGTGTTGTTGCAGAAATGGAAGCCTGAGATATGAATGAAGCTTTCTTGGGGAAAGAGATGAGTCTTTGGAGAGGGCAGAAATTAGGGCAAATGGCCTTCAAGTTGTGCAATGCACAGCCACAGTTTTTATGGTATGGCCTTCTCTCAACCTCCATGTCTTGCATGGAAATGCTTCCATTGAACACAGTCCGAAGCAACATCTCAGCTGCTCCACTGGCCATTCTTCCCTCTTCAATAATCTTCTGCCCGATCTTACCTCTCTTTCTCTCTCTATATATATTTGGAGAATTGAACCATGAATGGAGAAACCAAGAAGAAAGAAGGGTTGTCTCAAACTCTCAAAGCTTCCTCGGAGATTCCAAGACAACTTCTGTGTTGTGTAATTGTAAAAGAAGGCAGTACTTAAGTGGGAAGCGAATCAGCGACATTATAGATATTGGCCTCTCTTAAAGAAGTCTCTCTAGGAGAAGGAAGGAGAAAGAGAGGAGGAGACTTGTGAACAAAGAACAAGCTAATATCTGTCTTGTAGTGTTAATTGTTGTTAGAGGTAGATGGAAGTTTGGGGAATTCAATGAAACAAGCAATGGGTTGGCATAGAAATCTCAGAGAGACAAGTCTGTCTTGACCAACTGGATTGTTTAAAGTGGATGGAATTTTTTAGGAATTTTGTTTTGTATTAGTGGGCGGCTTTTTCTTAGCCCTAAGGAAGCCATATATATCTATCTGTAACGTGACAGGGTCCAAGTCTCCAAGATGATTGTAGGTGGGGGGCGGGTCAATGCCAGTTCTAAATAGATGTGTTTTGTGTGATGTGTTGATTCTCTTTTGTGATAGTCCAAATGACGTGAAACGAAATATCTTTCTGTAAGTAGGGACGCCGACCCACAAGAAAAGAAAAGAAAAATCTTTCTTAATCTCTCTAACTAAGCATCAATTGGTTTGATCTTTCTTAATGTGATGATTTGAGTTTAAGAGACTTGTCCAATTAAATGTAAACTTTTTAAAAAAAAAAAACAAAAACCTTCAGATCTTTAGAGAGAAAAAAATTAATCTGCAAGTTCGTGTAATTTTATATAATTTTTCATTACGTCCTTATAATTTAACATGTTGAATCCCTGCAGTTTTTTTTTTAAAAAAATCATGTCTTTATAGTTTCATTTCATTTTTAATCAAGTCTCTGCAAAAAAAAAGGGATATAATTAAAAATCAGAACTATGAAAATTTGATAAAAAAAAATTAAAACCATATCTAATTGGCAATTTGCAAAATGTTTACCCCCTCTCTCTTTTAGGGCTGAATGTGTATAGTAATTGTACTGTGGTCACACATTAGATAGATATTTAGTTCCTTTTTTTTTTTTTGCCCTTTTTGTTGCCACATATTTTTTAGGGTACGACATTTTACTGATTGTTTAAATGCTGTTTTTTGTCTGTTTGTTTTCATGTTCTGCCCTTTGCCATGTGGGCAGTCAGAAGGATTTAGCAGCAAGAACTTTTTTTTAAAAAAAAAATTGTAGTCAAGTAAATTTTTTTTTTTGGTAGTTGTCTGATCGATAATTTTTTCAATGAAAGATCGTAAACATTGATCTATAATAAAAGAAAAGCTTGAGGTTAGTAATTCTTAAATCTTGATATTTGATCTTAAGAGTACTCTAAAGCACTATAATCCTAATATATCGTTTGGTTTATAATTGAAATGTTAGCGAATTTTTAACACCCAAAAAATATACCTTGGCTTGTGATTTTTTTTTCAAATAAATATATTTCGTGTGCAATTATATATATAATTTAGTAAAATATTATTAGCGGTCTAGACCGTTAATCTCATATAGTTAAATTTCCACAAGATCCTAACAATAATTATTCTAATATCTAAATTGATAAACATATAATACCAATTAAATGTCCATGTACGCACAAACATAACATCAAGTTTAAATTATCTTATTCATTGTTGTGAAACTTGTGAATAGACTTACAAAACCGTGTTGACAAACTTTTAAACTCATGCTCACTGTGAATTTGGTTAAACTTATGAGCTAGCTTATCGAATTTATCGTTTTTACGTATTTAGCTTATAAAATTGTGTCAACTTTTTTTTAAACCCGTGCTAAAATTTTGGACCCGGTTATATTTAATGACATCATTTATAAATTTTATAGAAATTTCTTTATTGAATGTAGTAAATTATGAATATCAATAAATTTAATTTTAATTACTTAAATTTAATATATATTTAAATGAAATTATTATCATTTTTATATTTTTAATATTTAATTATAGATTTTTAACACCACTTTATTAATAAAAGCAAACTCTTTACATTCTCATCACAAATTTGTTTAAAATAGCGAGCTTGGCAACCTTTGATCTTATTCCAATATGATTGATAGGTGGGATTGTTCAGATTGAAACTTAATTAAAACGTTGGCCAAATAAAAGATTGAAACGTAAAAACTGCAATCAATGGCATTCTTTATCGCTTGCCCTCGGCCAAATAAAAGATTGAAATTTAATGGCATACTTTATCTTGCTCTCACGTTCTAATTTCTGTAATACTCCCTCCGTTCCTTATTATAAGAGACAAATAACTAAATTACGTTGATCAAAAAAATAATTAAAATTAGTTGAGGACAATTAATGTGTAAAAAGTATAATGTTTTTTCCAACAATGCCCCCATTAATAAGGAGAGAGAGTATGAGAACAATTAAATTATTAAAAGAAAGAGAAGTGGGAGGGAGAGAGAGTCTGAATTGGAGACAAAATAAATAGGGGTAAAATAGGAAATCAATACAAAAAAATAGAGACAACTTTTAAGTGTCTCTTATATATGGGAACATGCCATAAGCATCAAATGTCTCTTATAATAAGGAACGGAGGGAGTATATTCATAATTAAATTTTGATCTCTTTAATTTAATTTTCTAGATTGGATCTTAATTAAAGAGTATTAACTATTAAATTATAATTTGTGGGCCAAAAAAAAAGAAAGAATTAAGACACCTTCGTATGGTTAATTTCCGGTCAATCCAGACTCAATGAGGTTCAATGGCCGGTGCATTCAACAAAAATAGTGCCGGCCACATGGTCACATGCCTATCATCTCCTACCGCGACAAAATTCCTTGATACCCTGATCAAGGGCCCAAAAAAACAATTCAAGATTTTGGTCCTGAAATAGTGTTTTTTTTTTTATATCATGAAATAAGCTTCCAAGCATCGAAACCACTGATCTCAACAAGGTTAAATTGTAGGGGCTAAATCCTCAAAGTTCAGATTAAGCTCACTAGAAGATTTAATCCCAAGTTTGGAAAACTTTCTAGCTTCAACAGTATGCCAGTAACCTTTACACCTACTTGTATGATCCTGCTGTACTCCAATTTGTTTGCGAGGTTTCGATGTTAAGAGAATTAGAACTTTCCGTTTAATCATCATAAAAAATTACAAAAAATCTTAATCAACTTCTGAATTGGATTGTTCAATGCATCTGAACGAGAAAGAGCCAATAAACAAATAAAGAAATTCAATTAGCATCTCTACAAGAAATGGAATAGTCAGATACAAACACCACCAGACTTAGAATCATACAAGAACCCTTCATAACCTTACAGATCAATCAAACTTCACTTGCTATTGCAAAGATTGAAACGAATTAAGACCTAAACTGAACTGAAATAAAGAAAAGAAAAAGGAAATCATACTAAGCAGAGAAATTAATCTCGAACCTTAATTCACAAAACCCTTATGATACTCCTCCTTTAGTCGCAGATCTACGAAATCCAGAGGAGGCCTTCCAGCAGCTGGAGAAGAAGAAGGTGAGGAATGGGCAGAGAAAGCGGCCATGACCAAACTGCCTTCACTCCACGACCTCCGTATGGGATACGAAACATTGCCACAGATCGGCACTTTGCTGGTGGAGTAATTGCCGTTGTGGAGGGCACAACCGCAGTTGCGGTGGTAAGGCCGCCGCTCGATACCGTTGTCGAAGCCAGAGATGCATCCTTCGAGGAGGCACCGGAAAACACCGTCAGCGGCGGCCATATCCCCTCGCCGACAAGAAGGCGGGTTCACGATCTGTCTCTAAACGGTCTTCTTCTCAGTACTAGAGCTTTCGTTCTTCGAAGACAATGCGTATGGTGGGGGCTCTATATATATAGAGAGATATTAATTACAAATACAGGTATCTATGGGAGAATTACATTAGCGCAGGCCAGCGTGAGGAAATTTTATACTCGTCCGGTCCTTATTATAAGACCCAATTTGACTTTTTATTTGGGCCTAATTATAAGACCCAATTCATTTTCTCTCTTATATTTATGTATTTTTTTCCAAGATAATCCTTCTAATAATGATAGTTTTAACCAATATACTTAATTAGCAAGGATATTTTAGGAATAACAACACTTATTTATTATAAATAACCAACTTAACTTACTTCCTTAATCTCCTCAAATAAGTCAATTGGGTCTTATAATTAGGACCGGAGGAGTATTAATTTTATTTTCTTGGGAAGGCAACGAAAAAGGGGCAGTCGTGGGCGGTAAGCGGCATGTGCGCGTTTTGAAGCGACGTGGAAGCCGTGTCTTGTTCGTCTTTATGAGAGACCTTCCCCCGCCCCCCCGGTGTTTTTGTTCATTTTAATTTGGAGTGTTAGGCCTCCTTATTCCCATCTAATTTTCAACTAAAATATATTTTCTTAAATCTTATTTATAAGATTTTATTGTAGACTATAAATAAGATTTTATAGTTAGGATCGAAAACAATAAATACCTATTTTCTTATTTAATCACATTCTTCTTCCCCTATTCATTCCCCTCGAGACTTGTGCTTGGATTAATGTTTGTGAGAATAGTTTTTATTCTAGCTGAGTTTTACAAACTAAAATTATACTAAAAGTAAATTAGTGAAATATGATTTATGTTTGTATAAAATTTTATAATAAGGTCAATCAATATAAATTTATTTGGATGATATAGGTTTTGAATGATCAAATTTCAGGAGAAATTTCTTTAATCTTAACATTACTTTTTATAAAAAAATCATTTTGTCTAAACATTATTCCAAACATGATAATCCTAAACAATCCGTATGACTAACAAGTTGTTTGGACTAAAGTTGGTAAAAATAGCTTTTATTCTAATAACTTTTACAAAATGAAATTAGGGTAAAAGTTAATTAATATAATGTGCTTTATATTTAGATAGACTTAATGAAAAATTATTTTAACTTAAACTTGTTTGAATGATATATTAAAAAGGTGATATAAAAAAATTGAATATAAAGACAAATAAAAACCAGAAATTGGAAAAGATTGTTTTAATTTTAAATTTTAAGTTTTGATTTAAAAAAAAAGCCCCTAAAATTATGTCAATATAATTTTTTTGGGTCTAAGTAGCATTTTTCTTCAACCGATTTTTTTTGAAGCTTCATGCACTCATGAATTTACAATAAAGTGGGATCATTTTCGTAGGCGTCTAATTAATTAATTAACGTTGTAAGGAAATGAGAAAGAAACAAACAAGGAGGTCGAAGTTGCCCACAAGTCACTTAAATTTAAAACACGCTTCATAATAAAAACAAAAAAAATGGGAATTTCGAATTTCTTGCTTAAAACAATGTATTCAAAATTGAGCCAGCTATTGTTTTATCGCCTGGTGTCAAGTTGTGTCTGTTTTGAGTACGGAAACGAAGAATTTATAGCCTAATTTTGCAATCAAATTCATGCCACACCAATATCTTCAACAATATCCCGTTTATCATTACATCCGTTTAGAATGACTTATAAGTAATTTTTTCATTATAATTTATAAAATATGATGTAGGTATGTGAGATAAATTTTATTCCAACCTATATGAAATGTGTTCATAAATGATTTTAAATGTTAATCTAATCAGGGCCGCAGTCTTTAAAGCTTAATCTACTGAATTTTTTTTTTCCCAGAAGGCAAAAGGTCTGAAAAAACTCAGGAGCTTCATATAGAAGGCCATTTTTCATTAAAGCATTGGATTTTTTTTTTGGGCAATACCACAAATTAGGTGGATTCTCTTTTTTTTTTTCAATTAAGGGAAATTTGATGTTTTCATGACATTTTCCCACCAAGTGTAAGGGAAGATCGGTTTCAGGAGGAAAATGAATATCAATTTTTGAAGACCAACCAAACATGTTAAACACGGGAAAGTAAGTTATTTTCCTTTTTAGTCTACCAAACAAGATATTTGGTTTCTAAACGCAAGTAGAAAATGTTGCTTTTTTCTAAACAGAGTAATTCCAATTTGATTTTCTAAATCCATTATCCAAACAAGCACGTCTCGGTGCAGTTGATGATTCTTGTTTGTCACCTCTAGGTCAATCTTCTTTTAATCGTGTCTTTTGTTTTACTCTTTGCGTTTGACATGTCTTTCTTAATTCTTTACTTTTTCTTTCTTATTTTCTCAGACGGGAAAATTAATACTAGTAATTTAATGAGGGATGAAATATCTAAGTGTATTTTCTCTCGCTTTTCTTTAGGGGATAGCCTGATGAGATGGTTGGGCCTCCGGAGACTTCCATCAAAACCATGAATTTTCTCCTACTTTTTCATTTGTTTTTACTGCTTCAGATTTTTAGTATAAAAACTAATCGATTAATTTAAGTAGGTTAAAAAAATTAGTAAGGTTAGTTATTTATAATAAATATGTGCTGTCTTTTGTAAAATACCCTTATTGATCAAGTGTATTGGTTAGAACTATTATTATTATAAGAACTATTTTAAAAAAAGATAAATATAAAAAATAAAATAAATTAAAAAATTATATTTAAAATTAAAATAAAAATTAAACAAACAGCGGAAGCAGTAGTTTGAAGTTTGAACAACTACGTATGATTATTGATGAAGATGCCATTCTTTCAATTTGGTGGAGGCTGTCTTTATTAATTTCCAATAATTATACCACTTTTCCAGCTTCTTCTGCACTGTCTATTTGGTACAGATTCTGCGGTTACTTCTCTCAACAAATTCCCTTAACACCACGCATGGTTCTTACAACAAACAAGTCTAAGCCTCAAATTTGTAATTAACAAGAACACTTTAATTTGGCCCCTTACTAAGCTTTTAACTTCCCAAAAAAAAAGAGGTTATATTTACAAATTTTACTGATTAGAAGGATCTGATAAAAAGTACAAGTATTTTGCAAGATTTCATATGACAGAAAGTGCCAGTATTTCAATTCGGATCCTTTTAGTTAATAAATTTTTTAAATAGGAATTTTTCGTAAATTTCCTAAAAACCAAACGACTTTGGCATGTTATACAAAATTTGAAAATTAAATAGCCCATGTATTGCTTGAAGTGGGAAGAATGAATATAATTGATTTTGTTTAACAAAAATATGACTTATAAAAATTTAATTGAAAATTTGGAATTAATTAAGCGGTATCCACAGTTACGTAACGACGCTGAAACTTCATGCGTTCACTTTCATTCAAAAGCCTAAGCAGACAGTTGGCCTTTCAACAGTCTACGCCCAACTGCCCCAATATGATGGAGGCAAAAATCTAACCACTTTCGGCTTCTACAATTAATACATATTTTATTAATATTAATGCCCATTAACTTTATATTACTGTACTTATTTTTTTATAAAAAAAATTGAATGCTATAATCATACAGATTGCCTGCTATGATTATAACACACAATTTTTAATTTTCTATTGCTTATATCAAGTTGATGAGACCAATAGCACATTGACAATTTTGAATAATTTTTTACCAATACTTGCAACATTATTCATGACCACTCAATATACTAGTAATGGGCATGGCATATGAATAAATATAAATTTGGAATAAGGAATATGTATAATAATCTTAAGAAAAATGATGCTAATATCCAAAAGATTGATGTAATAATAAAATTTTCACTAAAATATAAGCTGCAAATGTCAATTCACGCATTTGTAAACATGAACATCTCAATTACAAATTATTGAGACTTAGAAAACTTAATGCTAACTGACAAATGACACAATATAAATATGTGAATAATTTTGTCTTTATTTATGTAAAACTTATTTATAAATACTTACATAAATGATACTAAACGGGCATTCATATCCCCCGCTCGAGGGGGAAGATCAGATGCCTGACCAGGCAAAATTAAATAAGCAAGGAACATTCTGCAGGCCGAGGCAAATAAGGCCGGATTATTCTTCGGGTCGGTCGCCCCGGGGGAATTGGGTATTTGGTTGATCCGTCTCTCTCCCAAGGGCCAAGAGGCCGAGGCTCATTCCGCAACATCGGGGAGCCGTACACGTCAGCCTCTGAAGCCTGGTTTCTCCTTGAACCACCGTTGAACTTCGAATCAACGGTTCAGGTTCTGCTCACCCCTAGCGTGTCGGTGTCACCTCCCTTACCGATTTGGAAACATACCTTAGTATTCCTCACCAGACGAAGCAAAATCTCCCAGACAAAGACACAGGCAACCATGGGCGGTGGTAGCAGAAGAAGAAGATCCAATAATAGCAGTAGTGGCAACAAGCAGCACAAAAACCACAGAAGAGGATCGGCCTCATATTTCGGTAAAGCTGACCTCTTTGTTGATGGTGGCTTTTTGTCCGATTGGCAGCTTCCTTCAACTTCGTCGCCCTCCAACCGTAATCCAGGTCCTCTTTATCTTTCTATCTGGCCAATCATTTTGTTTTTAGGATGAAAATTTGGGGTGGCAAACAATGGATTTGGAAAAAGGATTTGTCTTTATTGGATTGTGCTTACACGGGGGGGAGCGGTGGGGTTCGGTTTATTCATTTTCTACTGATCAAGACGGGGCAAATGGACTTGAGGCTTTTATTTCTTTCCGATTTCTTCTCTTTTATGCTTTGTTTTGTTTTTTTTGTTTTTTGGTTGCGCGTGAATTGCAGGCAAAAATGCTGGCTCAAATAAAAAATCTGGTCCAAAGTCTGGGAATGTTGCTACACCAGAGGCCTCTGCGTCTAGAAGCAGAACTGGAATATCTTGGGGGTCTGCTATTGGATATATTTATCCTTCAGTTAATTTACAGGTATGCTACGCGGGATAAAAGCCTTATCTTCATGCATATTTCATTCATTATTCAAACAAAAAAATGGTATCATTTTTGTTTGAGTTACGCTTGAAGGATTTCAGAAGGCAAGCAAAATTACGGTATTCTGTCAATGCCTTTTGAGACGAGGAAGATATATACATATATTCCTTTGTTCTAGTCTGCAATTATTGGTGAAATGATATACTCTGTTCAATGGGCTCTAGGGAAGTAAAGCTGCACTCTCATGATGTGTGCCCATGAATGAGATTATTTAGATATGCTTATAACTATCCTGGAGGAAGATGTTTGATGGATTCTATACTGGATGAGTTATAAGTTATGTATGTCCTTTGTCTTGAACAGATGTGTTTATCTTATGCCTCTAGTTAAATGTCAAAGTGATTTTCTTAAAGTTCAGATGGCAATGTCCTGGTAGCTTCGCAATAACTTGCATGCATTTGATTCTATATTGATAGGAGGTATCATGCACTGGGAACAACAGTGAAGATATTGAACTAAATCAACTGCAGCCTTTGGATTTGAAGGATTTCAAACACAATAATGTTGTTGTTCATATGGATCAAGCGCCTCCTTCAAAACCTAATGATGTGGAATATACTTATAGTTATGGTGCGGAATTTGTTTTAGGTGATTGCTCTCACAGAGGATTGGGTTTCTCCGAAGAAGAAGATGAAACCCCTAGTGATATTGTGGCATCCACTGAACAGACTGAACCCCAGTCAACTTCAGTTCTTGACTCATTGACCCTTGACAAGGATATTCATTCTAATGAGGATATCAACTGTGAGCTAAGCAATCACATGACAGCAGACTCTCCATCTAGGACGCCCTCTATGAGAAATTCTGCCTTTCTCTCTGTTGGAGGTCTTAAATTATATACTCAGGACATCTCAGATAATGAAAGTGATGGGGATAGTAATGCTGAGTCTCAGGACGAAGAGTGCCCAAAATGTTATAACTCGGAAGAACTAGATGGGTCAACTAATAGCAGTAGTTCTGACGACACATCTGACAGTGATTCAGACATTGATGGAGAGGTTGCTGAAGATTATTTAGAAGGAATTGGTGGTAGTGATCACGTCATAGACGCAAAATGGTTGCTAGAACCAGCATTGGATGTTTCAGATGATGATAGTTCTTCTAGCAGTTGCTATGATGAAGCTTTGGAGAAGTTGGGTGGAATGGCCCTCCAACAAGCTTCTGTGGAATATGGTATGAAAAAAGCTCATCCATGGAAGAAATGTTCTGCAGATTATAGGTCTCAAGGGTCGAGCACTATTTCTTTTGGAAAGAAGCATGCTGCACGGTTTCCTCATTCATGGCCATCGCAGATTCAAAAGAGTAAAGCCTCCAAAAGAATTCATGGTAATATTAAAAGCGACCATCTATTTCACACATCCAATGTCTTTTTTTTGATTAATCTAGCTTCTAGATTTGTAATTCAGGTGAATTGTCAAGTTCATGGAATTTGCATTTTTACCTTTTAAATACCAGAAATATTATATTTTGACATTATATTGATGATTTAATCATTTAATCACCCATGTTACTGCATAAAAGTAAGGACCTTCATGATGTTGAGTTTCATATTTTGGGATAGCTAGGTGGTTGGACCATATAGTGGGGATTGGAAATGACTAGGTGAATTGTCGGGTTCTTGTATCATCTCTGAGTTTCCTGTCTGGGCTAAAAGGTTTCAAGAATATTATGTCAGATTGCAAATCTTTTATTTTTGAAATTTTATGGTGGTTCTGGAAACCATGAATATTAATGCTGGATTAAATGACTTTGTAGTGGGAAGTTTTTTAAAATATTGAAGAAAGAGATGCAAGCATTCATTTATACACATTAATCTCCATTCTCCCGTATGCTTATGTTATGAAAAGCTTAAAAAGAAAGCAAATATACTTTTCTGGTTTTAAACTTAGTTTGGTGGCCCCCCCGGGGGGGGGGACAATTTGATGGTATTAAGGATTTCTTATGTATTGTTGAGACATATTCCTTGCAGGTGAAAAGAAAAAACTTAGACAAGAAAGAATAGCTGCCAAACGCAAAGTGAGAATGCTACGTCGTGGGGTTGATCTTGAACGAATTAACTCGGTAAGGGAAAATAGGAATCTATTTATTTTTAATTTCCCATCTAATTTCTTGGTTATGTTTGCCCGACAGTATAATCAGTATAGTCTTCTGTTGGCTACACCCTCGCTTTGTTTTATATTAGACATAATCCCTATGTAATTGCCTGTATCAATATTGGCCCATTTCTAAAATCACATTTATTTCTTCATAGTTTATGTTTGGCACTGCAAGTGTGTCTCTTAGATCTGGTGATACTCCCCCTCCCCCTAAGCTTGTTTCCACCATTTTGGCCACATAAGTATCTTGAATTTTGGTGTATGTAAGGAGTTGTGACTTGGAAGATTCCTTGTAAATGATTGAATTTTGGGTGTGTTTGCATCACCAAAGTAGCTTGTTATTTGGTTAGGATTACCACTAGCTTGTATGCCTTTTATTTATTTATTTAGTTACTTTAGGTCTGAGACCTCTATTCTCCAAACGTTAGAATTAAATCAGGTTTTCTCTGTTAAAAAAAAATCTGTTAGCTATTGTGTTCCATTCAAAGCATTTCCAGAATTTGATTGTCAATTTAACATCTCTGTTCTCTGTAGAAACTAGAGCAACTTGTTTTGGAGGAAGTAGATATGTTTTCCTTTGAACCTATGCATTCTCGGGATTGTTCACAGGTATTATTTTCCCCTTTTTCTCTCATCACTTGTTCAAGCTAGATTCATTATTAGCTGTCTATTATATTCTGCAATGGTCAGATTAAGTCTATTATCATCTGAATTGCATGAATCATTTTCTGCGCAAGTTAATGGCGTGGATCTTTGGTTCAAATTAAGTCTCTTTGCTTGAGTAAACTTTTATTCTAGAAGATTCTTCGTTGCAAGCAATATGTCTTATCGCCAAAAAAAAAAAAAAGAGACACTTTATAGGGTCTTTAAAGTACTAGACATAGGGGCTATAGATGTGGATACATCATACACGTGTGTGCGCAACGTATATGTGAGATGGATGGGTGCATGTTGACTTGGGCATAAGCAGGGTCCTATAGACCCTACCAATCAATAAAGCGGTTGGTTATTGCCTACTACTACTCAGTTTTTTTAAAACATTAGAAAGTTTTATTACTTTTTAATAGAAATAATTTAGAAATTAATTAAAATTGCTAACATGCACTCACCGTATGAATATCTGGAACTTTTTACTGCTATTACCTTAATAAATATACATTATATGAGACGGATTAGCAATTCGAAGCGTTTAATTTGTCTAGGCTCAAGTGAATGCACTTCCTTTGGGTGCATCATGTTTAAATCCTACTTTTTAGGTGATTCTAATTTTAACGTGGCTACTGGACCCACAGTGAGGTTTATTTATCTCTCTTGTAATTTCTGTTCCCTATTCTGCTTGATGTATCTTGGCTCCAGAGTAATGGTTTCTGCTTTAAATGATTGACATTAGGTGCAACGCTTAGCTGCGATTTATAGTTTGCGTAGCAGCTGCCAAGGTGCCGGAAAAAAGAGGTGATAGTCCTCCCATATTCTGGTAGAAGTTAATTTAGTTTTTGTGAAATGTTACAAATCAAGTTTGGAATGTGGTTTCAGATTTGTGACAGTACAGCGAACACAGTCCACATCCATGCCATCTTCAAGTGGGAGACAACGGTTGGAAAAGGTTCTGTATTATTGCTAGTTGTATCTCGATATTCAGTCTGTCATATATTGCATGTGTTTCTCTTCCTTGTGTTTTCACCCATATTTTCAAACATAGAACTAAACAAAATGCAAAGAAACTGACCCAGCTACTTCTTTTCATTTTCTCTCATACTTCCAACCCACTCAGATTACATTAAACTTTGGAACTCCCAATTGAAGTTTTGGTGTTCATTGGACCCCTCCAAGAACTCAAGCTTTTATGGATAACTATGTATTTATATATGCATCTACTTATAGCTGATACTGATTTGCTTTTACTTAAATTTAGTTGATAGGAGTTGATGATGAGGACGCGGACTTTTCTGTGATTGACTTTATGAATGATAAGTCAGCGAGTGGAAATAAAAAAATGGGAAAGAGAAATTCAAGGAGGAATGTCCTGAGCCCATCAGAGAGCAAGACATCAAAGCATCCAGCTGGTCAAGGCAGCAGCAAAATGAAAGACAAGAAAGGAAGTGGACGGAAGGTTTCATATGCAAGTCAACCCGTGTCATTCATAGCAAGTGGTGTTGTAAATTCAGAAGCTATGCAGATTACAGCTGCAGATTCTGAAGAAATTGATGGCACTAAGAAGGGCATTATTAACTCTGCTAATATAGGTTCATTTGAGGTACACACTACTGGTTTTGGATCGAGAATGATGGCTAAAATGGGATACATCGAAGGAGGAGGTCTGGGGAAAAATGGTCAGGGTGTAGCAGAACCCATTGAGGTTATCCAAAGACCCAAATCACTAGGCTTGGGAGTGGAATTCTCTAGCAACCCTCCTGTTGAGCCAGCAAGGAACAAGTCTTCTTCAAACATTGGCTCTTTTGAAAAGCATACCAAAGGCTTTGGATCAAAGATGATGGCTAAGATGGGTTTTGTTGAAGGTATGGGATTAGGCAAAGATTCACAAGGTATCACTACTCCATTGGCTGCCGTCAGGCGTCCCAAGTCCCAAGGACTTGGGGCCAAAGGCAGGTAGTTTTGCTTGCATGCCATTTGTTTGTTGGTTAAGATTGTACCTGCCGGAATTAAAGAATGGAGTCAACTCTTTGTTCTAGATCTATTTATGATCATGCACTGGTTACAACCTTTCTAGGTTACTTTTAGTTTATTTTGTCATGACGACGTTTGAAATCATCATGCTCAATCTAAATTGGATCATATGTGTATTAGAATGTTAAAGTATGTCCTCTCATACTATAACAATGAATAGTCAGAAAGATAACCCATGGCGTATGTCAATTTTACTTACTAAAATTCATCATCTTTTGGCAAATAATGATTTCTGGCCCGAATCCAGATTCTGCAACTACTGCTCTTATCATTACTTGAAGTTACCATCATGACGTCTCACTCTGACCCTTTGCATACCTCACAAACCTCACATTAAATCATGTGTCCAACGTTATCTTAGAAGAAGCGTAGTGGTGGGGTGATCAATTAATGTCTATACAAATTAGTGATGTGAAAATACTCTTATTAATGGGAAATTGTGTGTTTGATTTCGTTTGTAATATTAAGCAGTTAGTATTTTCCCTCTAAATCCGGAAAAAAAAGAAAGCAAAATGGTGGCGGTATCGGCCGTCAAATGGAAATTAGAGTAATATGAACTAATTGCCAAGTGAAGGGTTTCAATCACACAAACATTAGTTTTCATTTGTTTCTTCTTTCGAGTGGAAAAGTGGGATCACGAGCAGTCATCACCATGTCAGTCAACTTAAAAATAACCATAACAGGATCGAATCATGTTTGGTCAAAAACCTCGTCGGCACAACCTGTACTTCAACTGTTTCTTCTTCCTTCTTCAAATCTAATGAACATCACGCAAGTTGATTTTCGGCAGAAAGTGGCATTTCCTAACAAAAACTTGCTTATTGCCTATTAGCTTTTTAGAAATTACTTTATAGTGTTCATTGTTAAATAAGTACGTGAGAAGAGTTTTATTTTGATTTGTATGAAAATATTTTTTTGAGTGCTTATGAAGTTTTTCCAAACACTTTATAAGCACATTCACGCGAGTTGAGAGAAAACTCTCTTTCACAATAGCGTTACTATTATTGCAAACAAGCACTAAGAGATGGATAAACTAGAGGCTAGATTTCCCACAGTTGGAAACTCCATCCTGCATCCTCATCTCCTAAGGCAAATTAGACTGGGATTTTATGTATTTCTATTTAATTCTTCATAACGAATATGAAAATAATATCAACCAGGGTTGAAAATTCAAACATCGGCTTAATACTTGTGGCTTGGAACAACCAGGGCTTGAAAATAACAAAACTTGAAAATGATCGAGAATTTAATTAGGCGAGGCACGTATCATTAGTCCCACACAAAATTATAACTAAGAAATTTCTTCAGGATAGTTTTCTTATTTGATAAGGAAAATCTTAAAAAAATACTCCTAAAATTTTAACATATCAAATCAGAAATAATTATAAAATTGTGTTGTTATATGCTTTTCAAATGTTGTTAATCGCTATTAAAGTGAAGTAAATAATATTGATTTGAAATTTTAAAATTTAATTTTTTTTTTTTTGGAATTCAACCTATTTCCTATGCGGCGTACATCAAACTAGAAGCATATGTCTCTTTTTTTTCTTTTCCTTCTGAACGACGAAAAAATCCAACTTGCATCCCAAGAAAACAACTTGGACGAGGAACTTTTTCTTCTTCTTCTTCTACTTGACAGGTTCATCGTAATACGAAAAAAAGTTTATTCTTGAAAGAAAAAGAAGGTGGAAAAAGAAAACCGCAAGAGTAACAAACAAAGCATTGCAGTTTTTATATGGGAACAATTACAACAAGACTCCCAAAAAATATATATTAAAAAGTCTTAATAATAACTTAAACAGCCTGGAATGTTAAGTTTTAAAATAAAAAATAATAATTTCTGAAACTTATTTTATGATTATTTTTTTTAGAACCCCATTTTAATTCTCCTATTTATATACTACCTTTTTTATTATAAATGTAGAAGCTATATAATTTATAAATATTAGAAAAATTAGTTAAAATGCTTATTAGTAAAAATGTGTTTTTTTCCTAATATATCTTCTTTAATCATTAACCCAATTAATGAAAAATTTTAACATATGTAATTACTAGGTTAAAAAATTTACTAATTTTTGAGCTCTAGCTAGTATATTCATTATAGAAGGAAGTAATTAATTATTGTTGACATTTGGCTATAATTTATAGTTAAAGCTAAAAATATACGTGATATCTGGCCTAATCGGCAATATGTTATAATTTCTTGTTGCCTATATTAAATTTTACATATTTTTATTTTCCTTCATGGTTGCGTGGACAGAATGAAATTCAGTGGCTTTTGTTACTCCTCGGTGTGAGTGACTGGGAGCCACCCGAAGGCCTCCTTCTGCTCCTTCTTCTAGCTTCCTTCTCTTTTGCTGTGCTGTGAGTATCTTTCCCTCCAACTTTCTCCCTGTGTCTCTGGGCGACAATGTCATCCACCTCGCTCTGTTCATTACACTCCTCTACTGTCTCTCCTTCCCTCTCCTTGTCTCGATTCTCTCCTACTTCTTCTGCTTTATCTTACTCTGATCCATGTCTCTCTCTCCCCCGGCTTTCCCTCCAGACTCAACCTCTCCGCTCGCCCAACCTCTTCCGCGTTACACATTTGAGAATAAACCCAAAATCCAAGGTTGGTTTTTTTTTTTTTTATGTTTTTTTCGTTAAGCCACACTGGTTTTGCTTTATGATTCATTGATTCTTGTAGTGACATGCAATCATAGATTCATAGTCACGTATTTGATTGTTGATTATGCTCTGTTTTCTTTTCAAGACGGGTCTGAAATTGAATTGTTCGATGAACGAGCCATTGAAGGTCATGATATCAGGTGCGCCTGCATCGGGCAAAGGAACTCAATGTGAATTGATTGTCCAGAAGGTACTCGCTGCGCGTAATTTTTATACGATTTTGGGGTGCTTGAAGGCGTGCAATAGCTATGAAAAGCCTTTTCAACTGATTGTTTTAATTGGTTCTTTAGTTTGGATTAGTGCACATATCAACTGGGGATTTGTTGAGAGCCGAAGTCGCAGCTGGGTCAGAAATTGGAAACAAAGCAAAGGAGTACATGAATGCTGGTCGCTTGGTTCCAGATGAAATCGTGAACGCTGTAATACTCGAATTGCTTACTTAGAAGTTCCTTCCTAGTTGATTTTCGAAAGACTGAATTTGCTTCGATTTTTTGTAGATGGTGACAGCGCGATTATCTCGTGAAGATGCAAAACAAAAAGGGTGGCTTCTTGATGGATACCCTCGGAGTTTCGCCCAAGCAGAGGCTCTGGAACAAAACCAGATTAGGCCTGATATCTATATTGTATTAGATGTATGTGAACCGTCTCATGCTGCTATCGCTTCTGATTAATTGTTTTCTGATTATGCTTTCCTAAATCTTCATTCTTGCAAAAATTCTTCTGCAGAATCTTCGACTTTTCATATATTTTCTGCAATGTGGCGAACTCTTTTATTTCTTCGGCAAAATTATCGGCCTTTCTTGCTAATATAAACGTCCAATGCATCCTCAGCATCAACGGAGTATTATATTAACTGCTGCTATGAATGAGATTCATAGCTCTACAGAACAAATATTATATTGCTGCATCTTTCATTTTACATGTAGAAAGTCGGTGCTATTGCAGTGTTGAGTCCGTTGACTTATCGCTAGTGTTTTGATTTTCCAGAGTTACATTTTTCATTTAGATACTAATGAATAGAAGTAGGTCTATCTTCCTTGCTGAGTCAATAAGTTTTCTAATACTCAGGTTCCTGATGAAATTCTGATCGACAGATGTGTTGGCAGAAGGCTAGATCCAGTAACAGGGAAGATTTATCATATAAAAAGTTTTCCACCAGAGACTGAAGAAATCAAATCAAGGCTAATCACCCGTCCTGATGACACTGAACAAAAAGTATGATACAAATATATTAATTCTTGTAACCATCTCTGTAAGCAACTGAACATATGACATGTTTACAGCTTTGTGATTTTAGCAATAGAAACTGTTAATTATTTTTAGAGTAAATCACGCGATTCCAAAAATAGAAAGGAGACAAGTAACTTTGACAAAATTCAGGAGAAGTGTAACTTATCCTTATTTTCATTTTTCCCCCCCAAAAAATTGAGGAGTTATAAAGGATCAGTTCTTTGGCAAAAAGAAAAAAAATAAATAAATAAAGGATCAGTTCATGTAGAAGTAGCCTTTTTTAGTTGCTTTCTGATGCTTTCATTACCTTGCGGTGGCATTCTTAAATCATGCTAGCACGTATTAAGATCACTTTGATTTCCTTTTTTTCCTTTTTATTTTTAATTTACAAGCATAAGATATCCTAATTTCATCTTAGAGGAAGAGCATGATCCAACAATTAAGTAATCTATCTGGAGTGCCTTGTGTATAAATATATTTGATTCTTTTCAGGTTAAGTCCCGGCTAGAAATATATAAGCGAAATGCAGAAGCTGCTTCTTCCACTTACTCACCCATAACAAACAAGGTTCTTGCATCTTGTTAAATTTTATCTGTGTATCTTAACCAGATGAATCAGTGGGAAGTTTATTTACTAAACTATCTTTGGTTGACATGCAGATTGATGGAAATCGCCCAAAAGAAGTAGTTTTTAAAGAAATTGACTCTCTGCTATCACAAGTGCAAAATTACAAAGGGAAAATTATAAAACCAGGTCTGTATTTTGGACATTTTTTGGTTGCATAAGGTATCCATGAGATTATTCTATGAGAAGGCAGTCTATAGATTGACAATCTTGACATGCTATTTAGTATATTGTAACCTCTATTTTCTTTAATTATTTGCTTGTGTATGATATAGTGAGAGTACCCACTTACCTCCGTATCAACAGAACTTCTTAACGGAGTGCTTAATGCTTATAGCATTTTGGGCTTCAGATGTGGGGTTGATGTGCTACAGAAAAATGCGTGTAAGCTTTTTTTAAGATTATTTATTAATCAATTTATTGATTGATTTCTATGTATCAGAAAAGTCGACACCTGATATAAAGAAGGGGAAGGAATCATTAAGCCAGGTAGATGTTATAAATTGCGAGTGGTTCTTTTTTTCTTTTTTCTTTTGCATATTTTTCTTTAGTAATTCTATGATACCCTCTTTCCTTTATGATTTCTTATTTCCTTTATCTTGTTACAGGATAAGTGGAGAGGAATTCCCACTAGACTAAATAACATTCCCCATTCCAGAGAGATCAGGACATATTTCTATGATGATGTACTGCTAGCCACAGAGAGGGCTGTAAAAGATGGAAAAACTCGGTTGAAGGTTTGAAGTCGCCATCAGCTTTATATGTAATCTATAACCATGTTAATGCTTCATATCATTTCCATGAGTCTAAATCTATGCATTATCTTTGACCATTGCATTTTGGGTCCCTGAGTCCTATGCATAATATCAGATGTATAAAAAATTAAAATTAAATTATGACGATTCTTTTTGCTCACAGCATTCTTTTTTTCTCTGACGGACTATTAACATAACTGACTACTAGGTTTAAGTGTAGTATAGGAAGGTAATAAGAACATGGTATAGGAATAACATTATGTTGTTATATTGTTTAACACAATTATTGACAATGCTGACACGTACCTGATTTGTCATGCCAAACCAATTAGGTGGACATCAACATTCCCGAGCTGAACCCAGAAATGGTATGGAAATATTTTTTTCTCTTTATTTTCCCTAAGCTTTTCGTCACCTGACAATATCTTCTATGTGCAGGATGTTTATCGAATTGGTACTTTGATGGAACTTGTTCGAGCTCTTGCCCTTTCATTTGCTGATGATGGGAAACGTGTTAAGGTACCTAAACCCTTGTTCTAATATGAACTATTTTTGTCATTTGGAGAGTAATTGGATATCTATTATACAAGAGTTCTTATTGCTTAAACATAAAACCATCATTAACATTTCCTTGCAGGTTTGTGTGCAAGGGTCAATGGGAGAAGGTGCTCTTGCTGGAATGCCACTACAGCTGGCTGGAACCCGAAAGATTTTAGAGTTTATGGACTGGGGTGATTATGGGGCAAAAGGGACCTTTATTAAGATTGGTTCCATAGGTAAAATGATGAGCACAAACTTTTATGGATAATGGTGATTTAGATTCCATCTTAGCATTTGACATAACTTTGCTTCCCTCCATTTATTTGCATATGGTTATTCATGCGCCTGCGTTTAACTCAAGACATCCTGACATATTACTACTATGTGCGGAAAACAACGAGAGAATTACATTTTTACATCAGTCTGTACTCAGTACTGCTATATCAAAGCACTTGTTGTCTGTCTCTGACACAGTCACAAATGAACTGCAGACAGCTTTGTTTACATGTTTGTATTATAAATGGAATTATCCATATGGATTTTTCCTTTTGTTAAGCATGATCTAGTTTTACACAAAAAAGTACTGTATAACTTGTGAGTTTCCAATCTCAGGAGCTGCAGAGGTTGATGAGCAGGATGACATGTATATCTTGGTAGCTCCTCAAAATGCTGTGGGGAATTGTATTATTGATGTAAGGACACGAATGGAATTCTCATAAACATGTCCTGGAGACAGCATTTACTCTGCATTTTCTTAAAGGAACATGTTGTTTCTTTCAGCTTCATTTCAACTTCTTTTTCATTCTTTAATATTTCGGTGGTTAAATATACAGGATCTAAGAGCGATGACCGATGCTGCTAAACACAGGCCTGTTATCCTAATCAATGCTAGGCTTAAGGTTCAGTTCCTATTTTCCCGTTGCAATTTCTTTCCTGGGATAGTTGCGTGACTTGCAAATTCTTTTTAAGATCGTATTGATTTGTTACTGCTATTGATAAAGTTAACCTGATATTGATGAATCTGGTGCCAAGTCTTGAATTCATAAAATGCACAGTTGACCTAATCACATGGAATATGGAAGCCTCATGGTGTGCAAGTGTGAAATATCTGTGGTCCAGATATCTGAGTTTTATGCCGCAAAGTGCAACTGCATTTTAGTAATCTCCCTGCAACTATGGAAAACTGAAACATTTCTGGATTTCTTTGCAATCAGGATTTGCCAGGCTCGAGTGGTATAATGCAAGTAAGTGCTGAACCAGGAAGCTTAAAGCAAACGTTTTTTGGTTTTAAACATGATATTCTAACTTTGCCTTCTCACACAGACCATGGGACGAGAGCAAAGACTTGAGTATGCAGCATCATTTGAAAGTTGCTACTTCTTTCGGCTTCTCTATTATGCAGGAACTCAGTATCCCATAATGGGAGCTCTCAGGTTAGATGGGAATCTTTGAGATTTTAGCTTTTAAGGGTTTGAAAAAAGAAGAAATCATTGGACCAACTACCATCCATGTCTTGACTTGCTTCATGGTGTGGCATCTCAGAAAGAGAGCTTTTTTGTTTTGTCATTGTAAGTTAGAAAACTGTAGAAGAAATTATACAAAATACTTTTTAAGCTTTTGAGATAAACAAACCTGTAATTGAAGCTTCATCTTATTATGGCAAAAATTAATGTATTACATTTCGATTCTGGAAGAGAAAACTTGAACCCTGGAATTTCGGAGTCATAATGATGAGAGGGTTTGCCATGAGCGACTTTCATTCTATATCTAATGATGAAAGCTAATTCATTTACACAAAGAAAAGACTTCTGTGACAAAGCTCAAACTCATCAATTTTTACCTTGTAAATGCACTTCTTATGATTTAGGATGACTTATCCATTCCCTTACGAGCTTTACAAGAGGGTAGATGAATCACATCGAAAGGAGAAGTATGTCCTGCTGTCAACATTTCCACAAAGGCCTACTACCGATGAAATTAATGACGCATTCCAAGGAAAACCAAGGTAACATCACGCATGTCTAGTCCTCATTTGCCAAAATTTCCGACATCATTATCTTGACTTTCTTCCTTAAAATTAGAGCTATTAAAAAAAAAAAAGCATTCCATTTAATAGTTTCTTGAACCTCTTGCAGGGCTGGAGCTAGGAAAGCTTCTGGGATTTGGTTAGTAACATATCATCCTGAGTCTCAGTTTACAATAACGAAATTATTTCTTTTTTGATAGATAATATTTTAGGTGAATCCATTCTTTTCCTCCGTTGACACAGCCTGTCTCTTTCTTAGGGGCTTCTTGAGTGGCATTCTTTGAGCACAATGAAAGCATATGGACTGTTCCTAGTGGAAAGTAGAAGACACCGTAGCTCCTACGTTTCCATTAAGTCCACCTGATTTGTCATGAAGAGTGATGATATTTTGCTGAATAGTTTTAGGGAAGTGTCATAATCAGAGCTTGTACCGATTCAATCTGCAGTTTGCAACTGAGAGAACACGAGAGTTGAAAAAAGGGAAGAAGGTTTCCTTCTTCATATTATAAATGCTCTTGTAGCAACTTGTATAGAGGGAACTGCATTTATCATTTCTACGCTTTGACCAATTAGAGTTGGGATTGCGTAAGAAGTGAGGTATAATTAATTACTATAACCCTTGTACTCATTTAGAATATATATATATATATATATATATATATGTATATGATATATGCAACTTTGTTGGGACCTTATTCAATGGCTGTAATTGCGCCACCACAGTTATCTGTCATTGAGTTTCTTCATTTTCAAGACTTGACTTCTTCTTATCTCTTCTTTTATTTCTAAGGTTTGTATCGCATTCTTTTAGTTCTGACTTATCTTCTTCATTTGGTCCCACAAGAGCCAAAGTCTCAGACTTTAGTAATCTCTTTTATTAACATTGACGGCTGAATGCTACTTGCAACAGCCTCTTAATTAGCCCCTCTCTTCCCACATCACAGCGCCACCTTGATTAATGAATAATTAGGCTAAATTATTCTTCATGCTTATATAATTTTTAACTTTTTTTTAATGAGACAAATGTCATTAACATTCACAGATCGAAGAAATTGTACAATCACTAGTTGTTATACCCTTTTTCTGTGAGATTAGCGACAAATCTAGCAAATAATATTATTTTCAGTCTTTAATATAAGATCTAATTAATTAATTTGAAAAGATTGAAATTTTTTTTTCCAAACTAATTTAACTCAATTATGAATTGATATATTATAACTTAATATATAATCTAATGATACATATAATTATTTTACAAAAATCATACAACATATGCTATAATTAAGTAATCTAGTAACTTTTTTACTTTTTTTTGAAATAGTTAATTAAGTATTGTATTAAGAAATAAATGTAGTAGTATGATTTAGCAGTGCTTGGCTCCTTTCGCTAATTCCGATGTTGTAACTTCGGTTCTATCATCACCCACGGATTGACAAAAGATAGACAGACAACATGCCAAATTTTGCAAACAAGTAGATGCCGAATAATAAGCATCAACTCAGGTAAAAAAAAAAAAAGAAAAAAGAATAATAAGCATCAACATAAATGAGTATTTACTTCTCAAATACAAACACAAACATTTAGTTTTACTTTATACTCCTCACGTCAGATCGGATTCCTTGAGTCAGACGGGGAAAAAAATAAGAAGAAGAAGAAGAAACTAACATTATAAATATTTTAGCCATTGAAATATGCGCACACACACACGTATCCATAAAAATTTACCAGGGGATGCCCCTTGTCGCAATGCCAGTGGTATAATATTAATAATCGTATTTGTATAGTAACGCAAGTTGCAAGGAACTCGCAGTTTGACTTTGAACACTACCGGCTGCTTTCTGAAACTGACATTAAATGACAGAATTTAAAGATGTTCGTCTCATTCTTCTGCCCTTTCTGACCCGAATCAACTTGGTAGCAGCGTCTAAATAATCCATTTCCGAACACACAAACTTAAAGCTCTCTCCTTCAAAGCTGCCTCAGGTATTTAAGCAGTGTTGTCCCTGAGAACTGAGAAGCTAAAAAGAAGAGAATTTGTGGACATGGCAGGAGGGTCTTTTGCAGGAGGCGGTGGTGTGGCCAAAGAGAGGGCAAATCAGTACAAAGGCAGAGTTACAACTTATGTGGTCATTGCTTGTATTGTTGCTGCCACCGGTGGTTCCCTCTTCGGCTACGATATTGGAATCTCAGGTTCCTTCTTGCTCCTTCTGAGTTCTGATTCTCAATTTTCATTGTTATTGCTTGAAGTTAAAATGGAAGGAAATTGAATTCAATATCTGATTTGCAGGTGGGGTTACTTCCATGGATGATTTCCTTGAGGATTTCTTCCCCACAGTGTACAGAAACAAGGGGCACGCACAAGAGAACAACTACTGCAAGTACAACAATCAAGGCCTTTCAGCATTCACCTCTTCTCTTTACATAGCTGGTTTAGTTGCATCTCTCATGGCTTCTCCGGTCACTAGAAAGTACGGACGGCGAGTCAGTATAATCGCCGGTGGTATCAGCTTCCTCATTGGTTCAGCTCTCAACGCCTCAGCTGTTAATCTCGCAATGCTCCTCTTGGGTCGAATCATGCTCGGTGTTGGCATTGGATTCGGAAATCAGGTATATAAATATCAGCTTCTTCTTCCTCTACACAGAATATCTTCACATTTCACACATTCTAATACAACCTTTGCTTTGAAGGCTATTCCTCTGTATTTGTCAGAGATGGCACCGACCCACCTGCGAGGAGGTCTGAACATGATGTTTCAGGTAGCGACAACGTTTGGGATTTTTACAGCAAACATGGTAAATTATGGAACACAGAAGATTAGACCATGGGGATGGAGGCTGTCTCTAGGGTTAGCAGCAGTGCCAGCTCTTTTGATGACGGTAGGAGGGATATTCCTTCCTGATACACCAAACAGCTTAATAGAACGAGGATTAAAAGAGAAAGGAAGAAAACTTCTGGAAAGAATCAGAGGGACGAAGGATGTTGAAGCAGAGTTTCAAGATATGATCGAAGCAAGCGAGTTTGCAGAGTCCGTGAAACACCCTTATCGGAACATTCTGGAAAGGAAGTACAGGCCAGAGTTGGTGATGGCCATCTTCATGCCGGCGTTTCAGATTCTGACGGGCATCAATACGATTCTGTTCTATGCTCCGGTGTTATTTCAGAGTATGGGGTTCGCCAGAGACGCGTCACTGTACTCGTCGGCGTCGACCGGTGGCGTTCTTGCTCTCTCAACCTTCATTTCGATTGCTACAGTAGATAGATTGGGAAGACGACCTTTGCTTATCGGCGGTGGGGTGCAGATGATCACGTGTCAGGTACCAATCAATGAAAATGAATATCCCTTGTTTTTTTTTTTTTGGTTGCCAACGAATATCCACTTGTTATTTGCCTGTATTTTTATTAATTAAGCTGATAGCATATAATAAAATTCTTTGTTAAAATTTCAGATATTTTAAATGTATCTTATCAATAAAATTATCTGGATTGAAGGGAGTATTTGTTTATAATTTAAATTATTATCCCATATTAATAGTATTTTTGATTTTACAAGACCTTTGCAATATATATGGAAAATAATAAGTTTTTTTAAAAATAAAGAATCAGTACATTTTTATTATTAAATATTAATTTTTTTACGTAAATATTAATGGTCACAATTTAAATTATTGACTGTTTATCATTAATATAATGAGAGACTGATATTATGATTGAATTGCATATTATCGTACTAATCAAGATTTAATAATTTTCAAAATTAAGATAATTTTTTTAAAAAAATATAAAAGTATTGAAAAGCCTGATAAAAATTTCCTTTCAATAATTTAAACATGTTTCTTTCTAATACTTCAGATAGTAATTTTCATGCCTCCTTCTAAAATATTTTCTTTAGCAAATTAAAAAAAACAAGGGAAAAGAGAAGATTCAGCCATTTTCATGCCTCCTTCAAGACTTGTTTCTTTAGCAATTGGCCAAAAAAAAAAAAAGAGGAGGAAAGAGAAGACTCAGCCAACAAAATTTTAGTCTTAATAGTCTCTTAAGGTCGCCCTGGTCGTGTGAGCCTTGGAAACACAACTCAGTTTTTGTTTGTTTTCTTGGGGCCAAACGAATGACTCAATTATCATTTTACTTTTTTTTGCAAGCAAGCAGACAAAAAAAGTAACAGACAGGGCCCGGGCCTAATTTTTTTATACTCCTTCTTATCTTTAATATAAAAACTAATTAATTAATTTAAGTAAATTAAAAAAATTAGTTAAGTTAGTTATTCGTAATAAATAAGTATTATATTTTCTAAAATATTCTTACTATCCAAGTGTATTAACTAAAACTACCATTTGATGCGATCTTTAACATATGAAATTCATATAAAGACTATTTTGAAAAAAAATTAATAAATATAAAAAACAAATTGGATTGGGTATGATCAAAATGTTAAACTATTTTTTATATTAAAGAGGGAGGAAGATAGTAAGCTATTTCCGTGAGCTGACTAGTTGTTAGGAAAATCTGATCCAGGATCATGTCTACTTACAAGTCAGTGTATCTTTTTCGTAAGATAACCAGATATCCTACAATGGGATCTGAAGTTCTCTAGAAATGGTACAATCTACAAAAGCAAAGACTCTTAGAACTGTTTGATAAGCTTTACAAGAAGATCCCGCAAATGTGCAGTTAATTGTTATTGACTCCCAGAATTTCCCATGAACAGATAATTGTGGCCATAATCCTGGGGATCAAGTTCGGGGCTGACCAACATCTGTCCAAAAGCTATTCAGTATGGGTTGTGGTTGTGATCTGTCTGTTTGTGTTGGCTTTTGGATGGTCATGGGGCCCACTTGGTTGGACAGTCCCAAGTGAGATATTTCCATTGGAGATCAGATCAGCAGGCCAGAGCATCACAGTTGCTGTAAACCTTCTGTTCACTTTCATAGTTGCTCAGGCCTTCCTTTCCCTCCTCTGTGCTATGAGGTTTGGGATCTTCCTCTTCTTTGCTGGCTGGATTTCATTAATGACTCTCTTTGTTTTCCTCTTCTTACCTGAAACTAAGGGAATCCCCATTGAAGAGATGTCACTTATGTGGAGAAGACACTGGTTCTGGAAAAAGATTCTGCCTGCAGAATCACAAGTTTAGTCCCAAGATGCTAAAATGAATACTTCCATCAGTTCCATGACTCATATGATGTAGCTTGATTTTTATTCTGTAGAATTCAGAGACAATTTCTATCTACTGTCATGTATACCAAAGTACACATTGACTTTTCACAGTAAATCTTCTTCTGGGGTGTTTGGCATTTGAGAAAAGTACTTTTAAAAAGTAGTTTTTTACAAATCGAAACAAACTCATTCACATATTTACTTCGTATATTGTAAAATCACTTTTGAAATCATGATTTGGGTTCCATTCAAACACCCCTATACTGATCAGGCACAAGAAAACATGTCATTTATGTGGAGAAGACACTAGTTCTGGAAAAAGATTCTGCCTAAAGAATCGAAACTGCATCCCCAAGATGATGGAATAAAAACTTCCATGGACTCATCTGACGCAGCTTGAAGAGTCCATTCTACAGAATTCAAATACAATTTCTCTCTACTATCATGTATACCAAAATACACATTGAGTCTTCATAGTAAATCTTCTAACAAATCCTAAAACTCAGATTATGCGCTGATCAGACAGAAGAAAGAAGGGCATGAATTTGCACCGTGTTTCAGGCAGAAACTTGACATGAATTTGCACAGCATAAAATAAAAGCTAAGGAGCAAACTAATTCTTTTATTACATCAGCGTCAAATATACATTGATATGGTATGAGTATGATGCACACACCCAAAAGAACCAGTTACAACAAATGAAGACCTAAAGAAAACAAAAGAGCACAACTCAAATTCACTACTCAAATTTGCTTCTTTCCTATGAGTCTATAAAACTGTAAGCTAGCACAAATTATAACAAAAACTAAAGAACCTGCAAGTTGACCACGTGTTCTCACTCAACAACCGAAGGAAGCTTGTTGACACCTTGTGAACAAACAACCATCAAGTCACTGATGGTCGTAGCTTCTTCCTCAGCAACCGCGGGACTGGAACCAAACTTGGAGACGGCGAAGCATGAAAAGCGGGTCCTGCATATTTCTCTACTTCCGAATCAACCTGAACGTGGTTCTGCATCGTCTCCGGGATCCGACCCGGCCGATCCGTCGATTCTAAGACCAAATCGAGATCTTTCTCGTTCTTGGCCTCCGCGCTATGCTTCTCACTGGAAGCACCGACCGCTAAGCACCCGCTATCAAAAATCAACTTCTCGCCTCGCTTGAGGATTTTGACGTCACCCTTGACAAGGTTTGGGCCCGGGGATTGATTGCAGAGGCGGCTCTGACATCGATCATGGTGCATGGCCTGAACAGCGATCGGACTTTGCAATCGCCGGCGACTATGGTAACCACAGTTACGTTGAGAACTTTTTCGTAGCGTGGCTGGTGCGGAGGCTTCACGGCGAAAGCGATGTTGAATACTCTTGGCTTGTAAACGAAAAACTTCGGTGCCCATTGACACAGAACGAAGAAAAGCTGTGGAAGATTTCTGAGCAGTACTTCTCGCCAGAGAGATCTCCCCTAAAGTTCTTGGTAAGTTCGTTATCCTGTTTATACATTAGCTGATGATTGTTGGGAGGAACATTATATTTTATTTATTATAAAATATTTTTAATTTCATATGATTGATATTTTCAATTCACATTCCTTAAATCATAGTATAATTCATTATTAATTTTAGATAATTTACGGGACATAAAATCGATAACGATTGATTTGAAGATGGGGTTCAAACTTATAAAAAATGTGATATGTGTAAACTGATTTCTTTATTTTATCTACTAAATAATAATAGAATATACTACTGATATACTACCTCCGATCCTTAATATAAGATCTTGTTTGACTTTTATTTTGGTCCTAAATATAAGACCCTAATCCACTTTGTCTCTCATATTAATGTATTTTTTTTTCCAAAGTAATCCTTATAATAATGATAGTTTTAAATAACAAACTTGATTAGCAAGGATATTTTAGGAAAAATAACACATATTCATTATAAATAACTAGCTTAACTAAATTTCTTAATCTCTTCAAATTAGTCAACTGGGTCTTATAATTATGACCAAAGGTAGCATAGTAATTTTATGAGACTAAATTAAAAATGAAATTTATATAGAGGATCAATTTTTTTTTTTGAATAACGTGTCTTTAAATTAAGCAAAACAATTACAATAGCGAATAAACTAGTTTTTGTCTTGAAAAAAAACTCATAATTAAATTACTTAGGAGATTATTTTGTTGTCAATGTGAATTGCCATTGCAATTTCTTTCTACAACGACAAGCTACTTTCAGAATTACTATCTATTTCAATATCTCAATTCACATATACGCAAAATCAAATAAAAATCTCTCGTGTCTTGATATTTTGTGTTATTTTTTCAGTCCTAAGATATATATATATATATATATATAAAGTAGGCGTATTTTGCATATTAATAAAGTAAAATTGGTGACTAGGAATAAAATGCAAGGAATATTCTGTACTATGGTGATGGGTTGGCAAAAAATGCGAGGGGAACATTTTTGGATGACAAAAAAAACGAATATAGCATGCCAAATTGATTTTCCCATATTCAGAAAGCAATATCATTTGTCTGTATATATATTTTCAAACTAGACGTTTTGTATTTACTCCTATTTTAGGTTTTAGCAAGAGTTTTTTCTCTATTGGTTTATTCAATGTTTTGATAGGAAAATGGGTTGGCTAGATTGAGAGACTACTCTCAATCTCATATATATCCTTTTTAATTTACTTCTCCGATCCTAAATATAAGACCTTTATACACACTAATATAAGGATTTTATATTTATGACCTGAAGAGTATTTTATAATTTTTTGCAATTGAATTTTCTTCTTCAAGTTATGTGCTAAAAAATTTAATTAATTATAAGATTCCTGACAAATTCTTCTTCAAATAAAACTTCCAAATATCAATTCAAATAATATAAATTCATAGGTCTTAATTATAAATAAGATATTTTAAGTTTTAAATGCAACTCTCAGCATCGATATTTATAATTCATTTTTTACCAAAAAACAAATAACTTTTATTAATTTAATTTTTTTTAGGATAAAATGTCATTCTTCTTTTATAATATTCATATATTTTGAGTAAGTAATCGTAATCTAGAATTCAACCTTAATTCAAAGGGCCTATTTTCCCTAGAAAAGCTTGCATCTTGCTAACTTTTCTTCCTAATCATTTCCCTTTCTCCCCATCCATTCCCCTCGTCACATTTCTACATGTAATTTGAATTCTTCATTACTCACCACACTTCATCTTATTTTTTTAGGGTGATTTAAAGTAAAGTACATTTAATAACATGTAGATGTTATTAAAAAAAGGTTTGATTGTGTTAATGTGTTATTAAACTTTCACTTACTAGAACAAAATGATAGTTATCTTATTAGGTGATTTAAAGTAAAATACATTTAATGACATGTAGACGTTATTAAAAAAGGTTTGATTATCTTAATGTGTTATTAAAAGGGAAAATCCCAAAAAAGTGACTGTTGAATTTTAAAATGACAAATCAGGAATTACTACAAAAATATGTTGTTATTTGCTTTGTAAGTGTATTCATTTTCTTTATAAGTGTAGTAACCAATACTGATTTGTCATTTTGAAATTCAACAGTCACTTTTTTGGGATTTTCCCTTATTAAAATTTCTTTTTTTTTTTCTTTTTTGGTTGGAAAAGAGAGCCCAAGCCCAAAAATAAAAGTCAAAGCATCAACCTGGATCAACAGGATTTAGCCTTACACAGTCCATATCCGTGATTGCATCTGCAACTCTATCACTTTCCACTAGTTTCATTAAGAGTGGAGAGACATCCTCCATGTGGCTCCAGCTATCCTATTTCACAAAACTGAGTTTTGTCATTGCATCAGCATATTAGTTTGCAGTTCTTTGAACAACATGAATCCTAACCATCCAATGTCTCACCAAGAGCTCAAAGATACCCTGGATTAAGTTGCTCAAGAAACTATCTTTAATCTCTTTCCCTTTCAATTTCTTCGCTAGCTCCTCTGAATCCACCTCAAGCACTAACCTTTTAACTCCCAAATCCCATGCAAGCTCCAGACTTCTCTTCACACACCAAGCCTTTGTTTCAAAGGCATCATAAAAACCCACCTGTTTAGCAAAACCACTAACACACTGTCCCGCATCATCACAGATTAATGCCCCACGTCCTGAAACCCCAAGATTTCCTCTACAAGAACAAAATGATATGTCCCAAATTCGGGGGTGTGAATTTATTTGGCTAAACAACAACTAAAGTAATTGGAAATTGGGGGCCTAAGTCTGTTTTAAGTTAAAGGAAATGGAATGTGCTTTTGGTATCAGCTTAATCTTTTGCCATAATGGTTAGCATTTCTTTCTTAGAGTTTGATATTATAGCTTGCACGGTTTGAATCACACTTTCATTAAAAATAGTTAGAGGAAGGAAATCATACATTTAGGTTTTAGGGTTAGAAATTGTACAAGATAAAAATAGAATATTTGTCTTTTAGAAGAAATGTGCAACAACTTTATTAAAAATGTTCAACATGTCAAATTGCAAGAAGTAGGTCATCCCAATATCCTTATGTTTCCACAGACATAGAGTTTTCAGGGACCATTTATAGAAGCAATTCCAGTCATATTACCTTAAAAGCTAACGTTGATGGTCTAAAACTAATATAATTAGGCCTCACTTTCTCTGATAAGAATGGTAATTTTCTTAACTTTGGAACTTGTGCAAAGTTTTTTGTTTGGCATATAAGCTTTAGAAAATTTGATCCCTTAAGAGACTCATATAACTCAGCTTCAATCACATCTTTAAGGGTTAATGGGATAAATTTTCAAAGAAACAACCAAAAAGGAGTGGAAGCAGCAAAATTTAATAGACACTTAACCTTTTCTAGCATGACTTTGAATAAAGGTTTGCATTGCATTACTTGTCACATATAATCAATTTCAGTCCAATTAACTATTTTTGAAATAAAAAATGAACCTGGTTTTGATACCACTTGGTAAATTGGAATGCAGTGAAAGAGAAATGAACTTGATTCTGATAACACTTAATGTAGGACGGGAAGGCAAAAAAGATAATAAAAAAAATAGAGAAGGAAAAAATAATAAGAGAGATTAGAGAGGGAGAATAAAAGCAAGAATAAGGAGAAAGATTGGACTAATAGAGAGAGAAGAGATTAGGCATGAAAAGCAAAATGATGCGCATGCTATCTATGATGCTTTAGACTTAAGAGCATAGAAGAAGTCATTTACAATTAATTTATCAAATTCAGCTTTAGAATGTTCAGAAAAGAACTTCTTATAAAAATATGTAAATGCATCCCAAAGTAATTTATTTAAATAGCACATAATCAAGGGTTGAATGTCATAAAAAATTATGAAATGTTTCATTGCTAGCTCTAAAAATCAAGCCATTATTTTTGGAAGATTTTGAGCTAAAACAAGAAGAAATTTTTTTCTTTTAAACCAATAGCAAGAAATTTTATTTAGAAACTAAATTAAAGTATTAAATATTAAATATTTTTGTCGTAGTTTGGATTTTTTTTTTGCCAATTTTTGTTACAAACGAAATTAACCCACAAAAAAGACAAAAATAGAAGCAATAACAAAATTAATGTATAATAATAAGAAATGACATAATTTAAATATAACATTAAACTATAAAGAATTTAGAGATCACAAAATTATATGAAAAATGACAACAATGAAATTCCAAAATAATGGGAGAGAGGCCACTAATTGGAGAATCTAGGGACAATTTATTTGGGTCAAACGATCAAATATTAATATTTTTTTTTTTGATAAAGTAAATGTAAAGCTCTCCATATTTATATATGATCGGCCTCTTGACAGCTGACAAGACCAGACTCTTTAGCTTTTTAAGCAATCCCACTCTTACCTTACCTGCCTAATTGTTTCCACATGCTTATCCTTTCATCCAACTTTCAATTATTTTGACTGTCTCTCTCGTCTGCCTTCCAACTACAATTCTCTTCCCCATTGCTTCACCAGCTCCTTGTACTCCTAGTTATGTGCAATATAAAATACTCAATTATAAGACTCGGTTTTAAAATTTACAAATTCTAAGGACATAGCTGAAGTTGGTTGATTTTTTTTCATTTTTCTGAATTCTACCCTTAATTAAATGCAATGATTTATGCAATTACAAGTACTCCATGCGGTTTAGTAATTTATCAGGAATTTCTACAGTAAAATTCTGAAAAGAGCCTTGTAAAAGAGAGAGAGAGAGAGAATAAATCTTATATTTTTAGAAAAAGCACCCATCTTTTAACTTCGTGTAATGTTTTATTTTAGTCTCTTTAGTTTTATATAAGTGATTTTTTTAGTCTTCTAACTCTTGCTCTATTAGTTTGGTTAACAAAAACATGTCGACGTTAACATTTTAAATGACAAATGCTAAAATATAAACTTAATTTCTTAAAATAACAATGTTAGTCAGGGTGAGATGTTTAATAAAATATTTTATAAAGTTAAAAGACCAGATTAAAATATTGTATAGAGTTAGGTTACTAAATATATACTTTTGCTTTTATTTTTATTTTAATAAGACATAGTTAACTTGGTTGATAATAGAAGTCAAGTATAAATTTTTGCATACAAAAGCAATGGTCTTTTTAAATTAGACCCCAAATGGAGAAAGAGATCAATCCAATCAACCCATCCAATTTTGCTTTTTCTTTACCGCAATCTTAAAAAGATGTGAAGTTGAAGAGCCCCAGGCCACACGGTCTCTGCTCTTCACTTTCCTCATCCTCTTTTTTCTAACGTTTGTTTGGGGAAATTTCCACTCTCTAATACTTTATGCTCCAATCATTTCGCGGGCATCTTACTTTGAGGGATTCTCCCTTTTTTTTTTTTAATATTCAATTTATACCATTTTGGATTTTATGAGGTACATCATCGTCATGTTAGTTAATAAACAAAAATAAGAATACAAGGATGGCATATTAATCTTACAAAATTGGAACATGTTATTTTTTTCCTTACTTCTCTTTACTTTTTTGATCCAAACTTTGGATCCACTCAGTATTTTGCCTTTTGATTTTTGATAAACTTTATGTTAATTCGTCAAAATTTTCCCTATTATTAAGGGACCGTAAGTAAAAGGAATACTAAGATTCATGCTGCATCAAACTTCGGATTAATGAGAAGCCACCACATTTTGCCCTTTTACAAAGTATTCGAACTATAGACTGTCTTTGAAAGAGATTGATCTTTTCCGATTTGACTGAGTCAAAGTTCTAAACTTAAGCTTTGTTGGGATGAAAAATTCATTTAGAAGTTGATTAAGAAGGCAAAATGGCAATTCCAGTGGAGGATTTTGATTGAGCAAATAAGAGATTATGTATGATGAAGGATTTGAACATCATATTTAAGCACATCTATCTCGAGGATAACGTACTATACGCTAACTAGATTGCTAGATGAGGACACGAAAAAAGGTTATTTGTTCAACTATCTTGGACATTCTACAGTTCTGGCACAACATATTATATCAGTTTCAAATTATAGATGACTCTTAAAATTTGGATAAAATCAAGGGCCTTGTGTGGTTTCCTGGAGACTGATGAAGCTGTAATGTACATTAGTAGTCACGGGATCACTGTGAAAGTCTCAGAAAGGCAACTGAATCCAATGGAAAAGCACAAAACACTGTTCCTCATAACTTCATGGAACAGACAATATTTAAAGTTATCGTCGTAACATTTGTCTGCTTATAGAAACAGTGACCGGTATTTTGGAGCATTCTCTATCTCACTTGTTTCATGAAAAGAGTCACTCACAAGATTATTCAGACTCTGAGGATGCCCTTTGAGTTGTTGTTTGCTATTGCACGTGCCATCATCATGCCTCCTTTAATGCTTTTAACTTCTGAAATAAGACTGACATACTGTTAAACCAGATATCATTAAGTTAGAGATAAGATTGAGAGTTATGAGTATCATATGCAGTGTTTATAGTTAACTGCATAAACAAAAATATCTACTTTTTTTTTTTTGGTTAAAAATTATTATGTGACGGACTGACAGGATTGCTAGCTATTCCAATTTAGCCGAAAGTGTTAATTAAAGCATCAAAACGTTAATATTTTCATACATGTAAAGGGACAAAGGCAGTTCCCATCATAATTTAAAGAGGGGGGAAAAAAAGAAAAGGAAACTCTACTTTATATCACAGTTTCACAAAGCAATGTTGTTTTTATATGTTCCCTTGCAGCCACCTGCTCCTGTCATTTCAATTGTTAAAAGCTTGGCTTGTGTATTTGTCTAAATGTACTTGGTTTTATATATTCTCCTGGCTCATCTTCTCCGTTAAGTCACCAAAAAATAAAACTTTCTGATTATACCTGTTACTGCATGTAGATCAATGCATATGGAATTTCTATTCATCTTACTTCCCTAAGCCGGAGTCATATGCTATAGTAATATTCCCTTCATATGCTTTTTGTCCCCATTAATAGTACACCATAATATTGACCTGCAAAATGAACTATAGCTTTGAAAATAATGTTTCAACAAACATGAATACAGTGAATATCACATGGTAAAAAGACTTGAAATAAATTACACTTGATTTAAGAATAAATTTTTCTGGAACTGATATTCAAACTCAGAAGCAGATGAAATTTTAGGGTGAAATCATAAAATTGCAAGTTTATAACGACTCCATGTCCTTATCACCAAGATTTACCAACCATATCCCTCGAAGTTAGAGAAATTTGATTTGGTTGATGATTTTCTGAGTCCAACGGGAAGAGAACAAGCTACAAAGCCATAAATGTTCTTCATACAAGGACATAGACAGGGACGAATTTTGATGCATGTCCCACTGATGGTTTTATTTTTCATTAAACAATATTTAAATGAGCCATGCATGAATTCCCAATTTCCCACTTATTGGATTCTTTCAAGCAAAAAAGTTAGGAAAAGATGATTTCAGATTTGAAGGCTTTATTCCCTAATGGCGAACACCATCCAAATAAAAAAACCCACCAGGGTCCCCCCAATAATATTCTTGTATCAGCTATTCATTAATAGTCATTCTCTTCTTTTAACTCCAAATTGCTCATTCATTTGGTCTCTTTTTTCTCTATTCCCCATGCATTTCCTCATCCAGCAATAACACAGCCAAATATACATATTTTTTTCACACTGACACACCATCTCCCTTTGCTAGTCCTTCCAGTGTCCCTCCCTCTTTCTCTTTCTCTTTCTCTTTCTCTTTCTCTTGGGCTCTTCAAGTTCCAATGGAGATTTTTAAATGTTTTCACTTCAGTCTCCTTCTTGCTACTTTTTCCGTTTTCTTCTTGGCAGTTTCAGCAATGGACCCTTATTCTGATGCACTCCTGAGCCTGAAATCTGAACTCGTGGAAGATGAAGACAGTTTACGTGACTGGGTGGTGGTGCCTTCGGGAGGAAACTCAACTGGGAAATCCAATGCTTGTTGTTCTTGGTCTGGAATCATGTGTGATAAAGACTCAAAAATTGTAACCTCCATAGACTTGTCCATGAAGAAACTGGGAGGTGTAATGTCAGGAAAGCAATTCAGTATCTTCACAAAGCTTGAATATCTCAACCTCAGCTACAATTTCTTCTCTGGGCAACTTCCTGTGGAAATTTTCAACCTCACCAGTCTAAGAAGCTTGGACATAAGCAGAAACAACTTTTCTGGTCACTTCCCAGGTGGGATTTCCAGCCTTAAAAATTTGCTTGTACTTGATGCCTTTAGCAACAGCTTTTCCGGGCCATTGCCTGCTGAACTTTCTGAACTTGAAAATCTCAAGGTCCTTAATCTTGCTGGGAGCTACTTCAAAGGACCAATCCCATCTGAATATGGTTCCTTTAGAAGCCTTGAGTTTATTCATCTTGCAGGTAATCTCCTCTCTGGGAAGCTACCTCCAGAACTGGGTAATCTCAAAACAGTAACCCACATGGAAATTGGCTACAATTCTTACCAGGGTTCCATTCCGTCTGAGTTAGGTAACATGAGTGAACTCAGGTATCTTGACATTGCTGGTGCAAATCTATCTGGCCCAATACCAGAGCACCTCTCCAATCTCACAAATTTGCAGTCACTTTATCTGTTCAGAAACCAGCTCACGGGATCAATTCCAAGTGAGTTTAGCAAGATCAAGTCACTCACAGATTTAGATCTTTCTGACAATCTCATCTCTGGGCCCATTCCTGAAAGCTTCTCAGAGTTGGAGAACATGAGGCTGCTAAGCCTCATGTACAACGACATGAATGGCACTGTTCCTGAAGGCATAGCACAACTTCCAAACTTAGAAACTCTTCTCATTTGGAACAACTACTTCTCTGGATCACTTCCACAGAGCTTGGGGAAGAACTCAAATCTCATGTGGGTGGATGTTTCCACAAATAATTTTATAGGCAGTATACCACCAGACATTTGTAGGAGAGGAGTACTATATAAGCTGATTTTGTTTTCAAACAGATTCTCGGGCAGCCTCTCACCATCTCTCTCAAATTGTTCTTCACTTGTTCGTCTTCGCTTGGAAGATAACCTGTTCACAGGGAATATCCCTTTGAAATTCAGACATCTTCCTGATATATCATATGTTGACCTATCCAGGAATAAATTTCTTGGTGGGATCCCCTCAGATATTTCCCAAGCTATCAAGCTTACTTATTTCAATGTCTCCAATAATCCACTATTAGGAGGCACCATCCCTGCAAAAACATGGTCTTTGCCACTTCTGCAAAACTTTTCAGCCTCCTCCTGTGGCATTTTAGGAAATCTTCCTCCATTTGAGTCTTGCAGATCAGTCTCTAGCATTGAGCTGGATAGGAACAACTTGTTTGGGACGATCTCATTTGCCGTTTCAAATTGCAAAAATCTTGAGAATATAAAATTATCCAACAATAATTTATCCGGTCCTATACCTGAGCAGCTTGCAAGCATCCCTGTTCTTGGTGTTGTAGACCTATCACACAATAACTTCAATGGTCCTATACCTGCAAAGTTTAGCACTTGTTCGAGCTTACAACTTCTTAACGTGTCTTTCAACGACATCTCTGGTTCAATTCCCAAAGGAGAGTTATTCAGATTCATGGATAACAGTGCATTTATTGGGAATCCAGAGCTATGTGGAGCACCTCTACGACCGTGTTCTGATTCAGTTGGAATATTTGGAAGTAAAGGCACATGGAAGCTTACAAGTGTAGTGCTATTGTGTGCAGGATTGCTTATATTCCTTGTCGCAGCCTTAGCTTTTGGAATTGTTTATTTCAGGCGAGGAGTTAAAAGCCAATGGAAGATGATTTCATTTGTTGGGCTCCCTCAATTCACAGCAAAAGATGTCTTGACAAGCTTCAACACCACGGAGTCAAGAGGCGTGGCAGCAACACCATCACCATCAGTTTCAAAAGCTGTTCTGCCAACGGGAATACCAGTTTTAGTGAAGAAGATCGGATGGGAAAAGAGGAACATAAAAGCAGTGTCAGAGTTTATAGCGCGACTAGGAAATGCAAGGCACAAGAATTTGATCAGATTACTTGGGTTTTGCTACAACCAGAATCTAGCTTATATTTTATATGACTACTTACCCAATGGGAACCTGGCAGAGAAAATTGGGATGAAAAGGGATTGGGCAGCAAAATTCAGAATTGTGATTGGCATTGCTAAGGGACTTTGCTTTCTTCATCATGACTGTTACCCAGCCATACCCCATGGAGACTTGAAGTCTAGCAATGTAGTATTTGATGAAAATATGGAACCCCACTTGGCAGAATTTGGCCTCAAGCATGTGTTGAATTTGAGCAAAGGTTCATCTCCTGCCACAACTTCCAGCTGGGAACCAGGTATGAAAAATAAGATCTTTTCCAATTTCCATTCCTTTTATATTGCAGTGAGCTGGTGTATCAATTTAAGTTGTCATGACAACTCATTCACACCAAAATCAAGGGATTCATGAGAAAATTTCACACAACCATGAAAGACATGAAACTTTGCTTTAAACACAGCATCAATTTATTTAGGTTAGACAATTACTCAAACACTTGCAAATCATTTCTTCAATATACTATGAAGAGAAAGCAGGCATAACTAGTGAGTATGGTCTATTTTTTGACAGCAGAATCTAATGAAGCCATGAAAGAGGAATTCTACGCCGATGTCAACAAATTTGGTGAGATGATTGTGGAGATTTTAACCAATGGAAGGCTGACAAATGCAGCAGCTAGCATACACAGCAAACCAAGAGAGGTTCTTTTGAGAGAAATTTGCGATGAAAATGATGTGAGTTCTGCCAGTTCACTGCAAGAGATAAAAATGGTTCTTGAAGTGGCTTTGCTTTGCACCAGAAGCAAGTCAACAGATCGCCCATCCATGGGAGATGCCTTGAAGCTTTTGTCAGGGTCAATGCCTCCGGAGGATCACAAATATTAAGATACAGATATTCTTAAGTAGATTTGATTGTTACACCTGCCAATGAGAAATCGACATTCAATGGAATTCACCTCTCATATGCCTAAATGTCCATTTATCATTGGCTGGATACACCAAGTCAGCTTTAAAACTTCTCACATATATATATATATATATATATATTCATTTTGAAACATAAGAAGTTTGAATGTGTGTAATTAAATGAGTTTGTAAGTTGTATAATATATATCATAATTACCTTGGTGTGCCATATTTTTATTGTGTGTTTGAAGGAGATCTTCTTGCTATTGCTGGGCTCAAAGTTGATTCTTTTAAGAATTTGTTGCGCATCCGAACGAAGCAATTCTAATTCAAAAAGGCAGAAGAAGAAGAAGAAGAAGAAGCTATACAAATGGGGTTGCGAGAATGACCTCATTACCTTCTTGCTGCTGTTAACTTCCTATTTTCTATTGAAAACAGAAGCAGGTTAGGTATTGTTTTTCTGAAAAACTGGCGGTGCTTCATTCTATAACTTTCTGCTTTTGACGAACATGAAATTCAACAACACCGAGTTTGCAGTGCTCTCTGAAATATCGTCACTTGAACGCTCATGACTAGAAAATAATATGTTCTTCTGTAAAAAGAGTTTTATATGAGATAGTGCTTTCAGTTTTTAATATAAAAGTTAGTTAAGCAATTTGAATAGATTAAAGAAATTAGTTATGTTAGTTATTTGTAATAAATGAATGTTGTATTTCTTAAAATATCCTTACTAATCAAGTATATGGGTTAAAATTATCATTATTACAAGGACTGTCTTGAGAAAAAATAGATAAATATTAGAGACAAAGTGGATAAATATTTTATATTTAAGATTAAAATAAAAGTCACATGAACTTTTATATTAAGGATCGGAGATAGTATATGTTTATCATAATTTAATTTAAAAATATATTAATAAAAATAAAATCATTTTCTTCTTATAAACATGCATATACTCTTTTCTTTTTATAATTTAATATTATTCGACCTTTTTATATCCATTGTTATTTTTTTATCTCTGTACTTAAGATGTTCAAATATAAACTATAAAAAATACACACACAAAGCTTAGCTATATTGCTCTTTTTTTTGGGTAATAAGCTATGTTACTCTTGATTTTATAATAGGGAAAACCATATTGGAGGTACTTATACTTTTTTTCAATTTTCAATTTGATACCTATGTATTTTTTGTTTTTAACTAAATCTTTATTTTTCCTCTATTAACATCATTAATCCTTATGTAGAGACTAAAAATATCAATAGAACAAAGTTATAAGAGCCAATGTTGCTAAAAAGATAAAATTAAATGTTTAATTAAAAGAAAAAAACACATAGGTACCAAATTAAAAATTGAAAGAAAGTATAGATACTTCCAATATGGTTTTCCCTTTTTTAATATTCATCTTGTTTCTTCGTGCAACGGCCGGACCCGGTCCAAGGCCCAAAAGAGTTGGCAAAAACCGAAGAAAAAAAACTAGTGACACGTCAGCCCAACAACGGAAAAGGTACGCGCCCTGTCACGTGATCTACCATCGCCCTGGCAATTTCCCGCCAGAAAGTTCCCGCCAAAATCACCCCACCCACGCCTTGCGCTCCAAATTCCCAATCTCGAGCATTCGAGCCCTTGTTTCGGGAAGAGTGGAGGGGGAGAGAGAGAGCACGGAAGATCGAAGATGTCGGGTTGGGACGAGGGAGCCGTCTACTATAGCGACCAAGCTCACTCCTGGGACGACCGCGGCGGAGACGCTCCCACCGCAGCCGCCGACAACCACACGATCCTCCAGAAATTAAAGGAGTTCATCCGAAACTTCGAGACCGATAAGAATGTGTTCCCTTACAGAGAAAGCCTTGTCCATAATCCTAAGTTTCTGGTTGTCGATGTGGAAGATCTTGATGCCTTCGATTCTGACTTGCCCGCCAAACTCCGCTCCAACCCGGCTGATTACCTTCCATTGGTATTTTATATGAAATTCTTTCGAACTTTGCAATAAAGAGGATCTCTAACTGCCCACTGAATTTTCGTTAGTTTGATTATTTTGATGTCTTTTGGTGTAGTTTGAGATGGCGGCCGCGCAGGTTTTGGTGAGTTTGAAGACGAAAGTGGCTGGGGATACTGGGGTTATGGAAGACCCGGTGACTGGTGATGTGCAGATTTTGCTCACTTCCAAGGAGGATCCTTTGTCAATGAGATCCCTCGGGGTTAGTGGCTTTGATTTTATTTTGTTGTAGGTTAACTGGATTCCTTGTACTAGAATGACACGTGATGTCTATGTTTATGAGACTTACAGTTGGAAGTGTGTTATTTTTCTTGTTCCCTGAAACTTATCGACGATGGGATGTGTCCTTAACGGGTCATCGGGTTCTGTTGGGTTAATCTGACATTTAAGTGCATAAATGATTCCGTAGGCTCAATATATATCAAAGTTGGTTAAGATAGCGGGGATTACGATTGCTGCATCGAGGACTAAGGCGAAGGCAACATATGTCACCTTAATATGTAAGAATTGCAAAAAAGGGAAGCAAGTTCCATGTCGGCCAGGACTTGGGGGGGCGATTGTCCCTCGTTCATGTGATCATATTCCTCAGGTTTATTTCACAGTTCATATACGTTGTTGGGTTTTCTTCGTTTTTCTCTTTTCTTCTTCTTCCCATTTTTATCCTTTACCTTTTTCCCTTGAAATTTGTTATAAGATACTTACTGTTATGTAGCCAGGAGAAGAACCATGCCCAATTGATCCATGGCTTGTGGTTCCTGATAAGAGCAAGTATGTTGACCAACAAACATTAAAACTACAAGAAAATCCTGAGGTAAATTATAGGAATTTGAGCATTAAAAGATTTTTTTCCTAAATGAAATGATAATCATATTGATGGATTTTATCACGGTTATTGAAGGATGTCCCAACTGGGGAGCTTCCAAGAAACATGCTTCTCTCTGTTGATCGTCATCTTGTTCAAACAGTGGTACCTGGCTCAAGATTGACAATCATAGGAATCTATAGTATATATCAAGCTTCCAATTCCTCTGCAGCGTGAGGATAATTTGACTACTGTTTATGATCCTATAATTTCTTCCTTCTTCCATAGTAAAAGTCTGAGAATTGCTCAAATGGTCTGTATGCAGCCAAAAAGGAGCTGTTGCGGTTAGACAACCCTACATCAGGGTTGTTGGAATGGAACAAGCAAATGAGGCCAGCTGTCGAGGTCCATCTGCATTTACGCAGGAGGAGGTTGGCTCCAAAACAATTAAGGATTAGCTGCATCTTCATTGATTTATACATTGTCAATTTTTCTTTGTGAACTATGCTTTCCAAATGATGCTGATACCATTAACGGAATTGTTTTGCAGATAGAAGAATTCAAAAAATTTGCTGCTGAACCTGATGCGTACAAAAACATATGCGCCAAGATTGCTCCCTCCATATTTGGTCATGATGATGTCAGAAAGGCCGTGGCTTGTCTTCTTTTTGGGGGGTCAAGAAAGGTATAATCAGTTCTGCTTTTACCTTTAGTTATCTCCATTTCGTCCATGGTTCCCTGTTAGTTAATATTATAATATATTTCTTTTTAAACAGAACTTGCCCGATGGAGTGAAGTTAAGAGGCGATATTAATGTATTACTTCTTGGGGATCCATCAACGGCAAAGTCTCAGGTTAGTGTTTTATGTTATTTCATTATGGTTGGCTTGAACCTGATGGTATGAAATGAAAAGTTTAAAGAACCCAAACCACCCAAATTATGACTGTGAAATTGGGGTATGGGGTAGGGCGGTTTGGAAACCATCTTAATTCACCTCAATCACTTTAGCTTCTAAGCATCTAATGAAGCCTTGAGTATGCCTCTCTCATTCTAGCTACTTTTATATCTGATGTTCAAGGTCTCTCTGGTGCATAGTATAGGGTTAAATTTAACTGTCTCGACTTGGGATGCTACTGTTTTGACTGTGTGAAATTTTAGCTTATCAACTAGAATGCTTAATCAATTGAGTGTTGGCATTACAACCCGTATTACTTCACAAGAGGTCCTGATATAAGACAATTGCCTTGTACAGTTTCTCAAGTTTGTTGAAAAGACTGCTCCTATTGCTGTTTATACTTCTGGAAAAGGATCATCAGCTGCAGGTCTCACAGCTTCTGTTATTCGAGATAGCAGCTCTGTATGTTGTTCACTTTCTTCATTTTTCATAGGGTAGTTTTTTTTTTCCCCCCAAAAACATTTGCTTCAGGTTACTGTTGGATATAGTCTTGGTTAATTTGTTTATGCTTTCTTGATTTGAAGAGTCTCTGATTCTTGTTTGTGATATTCAGCGAGAGTTCTATCTGGAAGGAGGGGCCATGGTCTTGGCAGATGGAGGTGTTGTCTGCATTGATGAGTTTGACAAGATGAGGCCAGAGGATAGGTATGCTAGGTTTTCTTTTGTTGTCTTTTTTCCCCACAATGCTACTCATTTCATCATGCTGGGAAATAGTATTTATATACAATTTATGTGATGTAGAGTTGCCATTCATGAAGCTATGGAACAGCAAACTATATCCATAGCAAAAGCAGGAATAACAACTGTTCTTAATTCAAGAACTTCTGTGCTTGCCGCTGCCAACCCTCCATCAGGACGTTATGATGATCTTAAGGTCTATTGCCGTATATCTTTGTCATTTTTGGAAAGGCATATTTTTGAAGTCTCAGACTAAAAATTTTCTTAAATATTCTTCCAGACTGCACAGGATAACATTGATCTGCAAACAACCATTCTGTCTAGGTTTGATTTAATCTTCATTGTGAAGGACATCAGAATGTATAGTCAAGACAAGGTAACTTCGACTATTGTGATTTGAATATTTTGGTCAATTCCTTAGCTATGAAATTCATGAACTATTAGGTGATTTTTGCAATTGTTTGGTCATTCCCTGCCTTTCTTATAATAGGAGGTGAATGATAAAGATTCCTCTTCTGATTCCTGATCTGTTTGTAATGTTCACAGATTTCAGTTTTACTCCCAAAAGAAAAAAATTGGTCACTATCACTTTATGCATAGTTTTCGTTGAAGGGATGTGATATTATATTTGTTCGTTTTGTTTTTAATCTGACCTGCAATATAAACAAATTTATCTTTTGAGCAGTGCTGGAATTTTCTGCATATTATAACAGATGACTAATATTCCCTACTATTCAAAAGCTCGAATTACTTGTTTCATGACTCTATATTCATTTATCTTGTAGCCAATGGTTGATTGATATATCTGTTTTACAGGTCATAGCTAGTCACATCATTAAGGTTCATGCATCAGCTAATACAACTACTGGTGAGAGCAGGGTTTCTAAAGAAGAGAACTGGCTCAAGAGGTATGCTGTGTCTTATAAACTCAATTCAAATATTCTTCATGAGATCCTTGGTCAAATATCCATGAGGGATGACTCGTTGGCTGTTGTTATTATAGGTACTTGCAATATTGCCGAACTGAATGTCACCCTCGTTTGTCAGAATCTGCAGCAACCTTACTACAGAACAATTATGTCAAAATCAGACAGGTTAGCTACTTATATCTTTTTTTCTTTTGGCTAGAACTGTAAGAAGTTGATTAAGCTACTGTGGCTCCTCTTATTACTGATTAGACGTGACGGCTCTCCACATGTTAATAGACAATGAGAATTACTTTGTTTTTCCTAATAGGATATGAGGAGGCAGGCAAATGAAACTGGAGAAGCTGCTGCAATACCAATTACTGTAAGGCAGCTGGAAGCTATCGTTAGATTGAGTGAGGCTCTTGCGAAAATGAAGCTGTAAGTACTATTGTCATTCCAAGTTAGATTTGATACCTGCGTTCAGCATTCTATCTGGTGACACTTCATAGAATGCTAAATGTCTATCAGATTATAGGAGGTTTACGTACTTTGCAAGAAACATGTACTGACATAAGGTTATGCATAATCTGTTTCAAATTTGATGCGCAGGCTTTAGTGATCAACTAACAGTTGAAGAACTTGTATTTTACAGTTAACATATTCAGAAATGTTTAGTAGATATAATCATTCAGCTCATTCAACTTTGATCAGTGGGTTTTTTGGAATTTCTTAGATAAAGGTATCATATGATATTTTACTTGGAACCAGGTGTCAGTAGTGTTAGCTTTGAAGATCTGCTTAGAGCTTCTGGGTTGGAAGATAGATTCATGTGATCTCTCAACGTGCTTTGCTTTATTGTTGTTGCAAATGTTTTGTTAATCGACCATCCTTTGTTCTTTGCCTTTTTTAAATGGTTTTTTCTTTGTCCTTTATTGTCGTCCATGCATATTTTTTATAATTAGTAACTTGATCATCAACTTCGATATCAGATCACATATTGCCACCGAGGAGAATGTGCAAGAGGCAATAAGGCTTTTTACTGTTTCTACAATGGATGCAGCTAAGTCTGGCATATCCCAACAAGTAAATCTTACACCAGAAATGGCAAATGAAATAAAGGTTCGTCATGTGATGCGACAATCTTCTCATTATTTATTAAAGATCTTCACTTGTTAAAGGTTAATTGTTCTCATCTTGAGCAGCAAGCCGAAACCCAGATAAAGAGAAGAATTGGGATTGGAAACCATTTATCAGAAAGAAGGTTGATTGATGATCTCGCTAGAATGGGATTGAATGACTCTATTGTAAGTATACCCTTTAGCTGAAAAGACATTTCCTCGACATTCAATAGCATCCTGATATTGGTATTTTGATTTCACCATATAAGATCCCAAGGATGCCGGTGCTTTCGTTAGTAATCACCATAGAAGTATTAAATACAATACGGGTTTCAATTTCAAAAGTGATAGTGCTCTATGGGTGGTGGACCAAATTCAAATTACAGCAGCAAGCATCATCTCTATTGTAGTCTTACATTTCTCGAGTCAAGTGTTCATGATATTATACATTGACTTTATTTGTTTCCCTTACCGTTTTGAGCTGGTTTCCTACTTATGATCAATGTTGTTTGTCTCTGACATAGTGAATTTGCATTTGACAGGTGAGAAGAGCTCTAATAATCATGCACCAGAGAGACGAAATAGAGTATAAGAGAGAGAGGCGTGTTGTATTCAGGAAAGCATAGTTGTCAAGTTTCCTCTCCTCTGGAATGTTATTGACAAGCCACTTCATATTTATGTAATAGTTTGTGATTATAGATATATCATTGTCATTAATTTTTCGACTGATCTAATCTAACAGGTAGATTTTCAACTTTGGCGGTTAGCCACTAATCCAGGCTTTAAGATAGTTCTGTTTTAGTGGTTATAGTTGGATGTGCGTGATGGACGATTTGTTAAGGAAGAAGACAAGCTTTAATTAAAGCGAAAACGAATTTGCAATTTTTCGTGTAACAGAATAAAATTGTAATTTATTTCAAGATGTTGTCAATTAATGTATTATTTGCACCATACTGGTGCTCAAATTACCAGTTAAAACACCCCCCCCCCCCAAATAAAAAAAAAGAAAATGTGGTCAGAAAGAAAACTGTCCTTTGGAGAATATGCATCCACCTCTGCATGAGAAGTGATTCTATTCCACTTCTTAACTCGGACTATAACTAAATTGCAAAAATATGGCTAGCTGTAAAAGGAAATCAAATAAAAATATTTTTATGATTTGAGATAAATTTTTCTCACATAAATATTTATGTACTCCTCCGGTCCTTATTATAAGACCCAATTTGACTTTTTATTTGGTCCTAATTATAAGACCCAATCCATTTTCTCTCTTATATTTATGTATTTTTTTCCAGAAATCCTTCTAATAATGATAGTTTTAGCCAATATACTTAATTAGCAAAGATATTTTAGAAATAACAACACTTATTTATTATAAATAACCAACTTAACTTGCTTCCTTAATCTCCTCAAATAAGTCAATTGGGTCTTATAATTAGGACCGGAGGAGTATTTTGTATAACAGAATCACCAAACATGTTAAATATTAGTAAGAATATTTTTAAAAAAGTACTATCTCCGGTTCTAATTATAAGAGTCAGTTGACTAATTTGAAGAGATTAAGGAAGTAAGTTGAGTTAGTTATTTGTCTTAAATAGATATTGTCTTTCTCAAAATATCCTTACTAATCAAATGTATTGACTAGAACTATCATTATTAAAATAACTACTTTGGAAAAAAAAATATAAATATGAGAGACAAAGTGGATTGGGGTCTTATATTTAGGACCAAAATAAAAGTCAAACGGGATCTTATATTAAAGATCGAAAGTAGTAATATTTATTTATTATAAATAACTACTACCTCCGGTCCTAATTATAAGACCTAGTTGACTAATTTGAGGAAATTAAGGAAGTAAGTTAAGTTAGTTATTTGTAATAAATAAGTGTTGTCATTCCTAAAATATCCTTGCTAATTAAGTGTATTGGCTAGAACTATCATTATTAGAAGGACTATCTTGGAAAAAAATACATAAATATGAGAGACAAAATAGATTGGGGTCTTATAATTAGAATCAAACTAAAAGTCAAACGGGTTCTTATATTAAGGACCGGAGGTAGTATAAACTAATTATCGTAATGGAGTTAAATTAGCGACCTGTAAATTTCGTGGGAACAGTGGTGCTCCAAAGAGCAGCAGGGAAGCGAAACATCGTCGACGTGGAATTCCCGACCCTAATCCGGCGATGTCATTATCCCTTTCAGTTGTTTCGACAATCAGCATTCGCTATGGTTTTCCGTCTCGGAAATTAACTGCTTCTCCAGTTCGCTCGCTCTCTTCTCAAGCTCAACCATCACTCAGGTCTCCACTATTTGCTGAGCCTTTCCAGTTTTCCTTCATTCTTTTTCAGTGGCTTCCCATTCATCGTAAGTACTGTTCTCATTCATTCAGGTGCGCTGTACTTGGAGCTGGATTTGCGGGACTCGCTGTAGTTTGGCATTTGTTGAAAGTACTCTTCCTTTTCTCTCTGAATTTAGTTTACCGAACACCCCCCCCCAAAAAAAAAAAAGGTTTCGCAGCTTCTAACCTTCAATTTGAAGTAACTTTCCACGTCTATAACTGCCTTGAGATCAATGAGTGCATGGCTTTGCTTATCGTGAGTTTGTGGTAACTAGCACAACTAGTATCTGAGGGTGCAAAAGCACAACGGTGCTTGCATTTGGGAGCAAGAGGCTTGTCAAAAACTTTAGTTTAGTAAATGAACGAGTTCATCATTTAATACAGAAGTTAAACTTGCAAATTAAGCCTAAGAATCTCAATACTCCGCTCGACTAATTAGTCCTAAGAGATTGGATCTGAAACATTTTAAATTTCTTTGTTTATCTCCTGTGAAATTATTTTTTGCAGAATAGTCCTAAGAGGTTGGATCTGAAAATTGATTTGTACGATGAAGTGGGCGTTGGGGGTGGTGCTTCGGGGATTGCTGGAGGTCTCCTTCACCCTTATTCCCCAAAAGGTTCCTGTTATATTATTGAAACATATCCTAATCTGTACACAATGGATTGTTTTCCTTTAATATGTCTTCCATGTTGCTTACACTTTCGAATTTATTAACGGGTCACTGCAGTCAAGCTTCTTTGGGAGGGTGCTCAGTGTTGGAATGAGAGTATTAATCTTTTGAGAATTGCTGAAGCCAATTCCAGAGAATGCAAAGTTGGAGAATCTTCGGAAAATGTGGAAACTTTTGTTGGCCACAAAAGGTTTTCCCCTCACCTTCAATAAATTGAACTGAATCAACTGAACCCTCCTTAGCTACATTTTCCCCAAACTTGAACATCCCTCTATGCTATTTGCCTGTCGGAGGCTTTTTCTGACTTTTTATTCCTCTAATGATACTTTTTTTTCCCTTAATCATCTGGTAACATTCACTAATGATGCTTTTGTTATGGCTGGTTATCAGCAAAACTTTTGAAGGTTCTGTGATCCATACTACCTGTTAGAAAAAGGAAAGACAATGAAACCTGTTTTGTGGGGCATGATCACAAATAATTAAAACATACATAAAAGATTGTAAATTTGCATCTATTTTGTCCTGCATCAATTCCCTTTTTTGTGAATTTTCTTGCCATATGCAGTGGTAGACAGATTTCGCATCTTGAACTGTCAATTTTTTTAATATAAATTTGCCAAAGTTTAATGGAGGATTCAGTGTGTTTTGAATCTCTAATTCTTGATTGTTGATTGAAGTCTTTGCTGTGCTTTCCTTTTCTGATGAAATCAGCTGACTTCAGGGGCATCCTAAGACCAGCAGTGGACATGAAGAATTTGACCAAACTGAATGATGTAATCCCTCTGGTCCAATAAATTCTGGAATCTTCATTATTGGACGTTGATTCCTAAGTGATAATTTGCTTTTTTATGTGGTTAGAATGTCCGGACTTGCCTTCCTAGTTGCAGAATAGAAACTCTTAACACAGGAGAGGTGCAAAATCTTGTGCCTGGTTTATGTCTACCCATGGGCACAGCTTTCTTTATGCCTGAAGCTTTTAATATACATTGCCAACACTACCTTCAGGTCTATATAAGCAATTCAACAAAAGTTTCAATTTGTTAAATGTCCTTTTGTCTTATATGAAGAAAATTCATTTTTGTAACACATTTATTTTAAATATTGCTATTAGGCACTCTTCTGGGCATGCGAAAATCTAGCGAAAGAATCTCCTACTTCTGGTTCTGGACATAAACAGCTCAGTTTTCACAAAAGATCTGTCTGTGGACTACTTGAGTTCGAAGGTAATGGCCTGTCAGTATATTCTTGTGTGTTGCTCAGGTCAAAACTTTTCCATATGAAGAGTCCCTTAAAATTATTAAGCTTCTCATCCGCAGCTCTATTAGTCTAGATTTTACTTTTATTTGTTTGAAATACTTAGTATTTTGGCTTTAAAAAATATTGTTCATAAATTTTTGGTTATTGGGATTGAAAGATAGTGGGATGCCTGAATGGAAACTGCAAATTGGGTCTGAGTCCAACGAATTGGGCTTCATGCTTCTGTATTCTGATATGGGCCTAATTCACAGATAAATTAGTGGTGTCATTATAGAGAGCCCAATAGGTTTGTACCTGTTTAAAAGTAGATCCTCCCCCTTTGAAGATAACGTAGGTCCGCTTATGATTATAACACACAGGAAGCTCGAATTTGAAATTTCATGTTTCCATTGCTCAAATGTGCAACCTAATTCCATTTTATGCTTCAGGGGAGTATGATGCAGTCATCATATGCCTAGGTGCCAAAGTTAACATGCTACCTGAAATTTCTGGTAGGCTTCCTTTGAGAACAAGTAGAGGCGTTATTTTGCACATGGAGCTTCCTGAAGATAAAGGGTAAAAATCTGCCTTTCATTTAAGCTCAATCGAAATGCATTTTATGTTGAGCTTTGCGCACATTACAATTCTTGATTCTCTATTTTTCAATCACAATTCAAATTTCATAAGATATGCAAGTTGCGTCTTGCATATCACAAACATATATGAACAATGTTCATGTTTGGTAAATACTTGAGGATGCTTATAACTCCTTCCTGTATAAAATATATAATTGAGTTATTTTCTGGCTTTTTCTAACAGAGAAGGGTATCCAGACCTCGGCCCTTCAATATTGTCAGATGCATGGATTGCCGTTCAGGGGCCTCGGAGTCTACTTGTGGGATCGACGTGGGAGTGGAAATCCCAAAATTCATCCCCAAATGTTGCAGCTGATGAAGCTTCAAAAGCTCTTGGAGAGCTTCTGCCAAAGGCATCTGCTATATATCCTGGAATAAAGGATTGGGTTTACAGTGGAGCAAGAGCTGGTCTGCGAGCAATGCCTCCCCTAACTTCCCTTGGATCACTGCCACTTTTGGGCTGTATTAATGATTTAATAGGCAAAAATCAAAGTTGCAAGTATTGGTTATTTGGAGGGTTAGGCTCCAGGGGATTGTTATACCATGGTTGGCTAGGGAACATAATGGCTCAGGCTGTCCTTTCGTGTAATGAACAAATAATTCCACCTGAATTGGTTTCTTGGAAGAACAGTAAGCTTTAATCCATTACTATTACTTTAACAAAAGTTATGTCATGTCTCGTGAATTTTAGGTCTCTGGCTTCTGAGCATTCAACGGCTATTCGGTTGATCCAGTAATGAGTACAATAGCAAATGGCTTTTTGTTTTGAAAAAAAAAAATTTGGTGACAAGCAAATGCCTTTTAGTGCTTGGGATCTTTAGTGCTTTTGGTGAGAATTTAATTATTCTTCCCCCACCAAATGCTCATTACGAAACATTAAAATAAGCTGGAAAAAGCATTGAAGGGAAGTTGAAGCATAAAGCTATAAAACATGAGCTCCCGCGAATTTTCCATTGGACCACTTATCTAGTTTTGAGTATTGATTCCTAGGCATTGATCCAGATTCCAGATCCAAGGCCTTCATTAGCATTTACTCAAGCATATATATGAACAATTGACTCATTGGACTGTATACAAAATATTAAAATATTACATTCTAAAATCTAGTTTGTAGTGCAAAACTAATATCCACTTATACATAAATGATTATCATAATCATTATAATAAAAATCATTATGATTGTGTCTCCAAGAATTACATTAATAATGATTTTGATAGTAATGACAAGATTGATGTCAATTACTTTAGTAATTATCATCATCATAATCACTATCATCATGATTACGCATATAAGGAACAAATTGCCTCATTCACATAACACAAAGACTCGTACAAGGAACCACAGTCTAAAAGCCTAAAACGAGCATTCCGTTTAATTGTATACAAACATTGGTGCATAATTACCGGACTCTTTTAGGATGAAGTCCACATATAAACCTGTCCCCCACTAGTAGCTCCCGCAAGAGTCCCAATCTCAAAAGGGTGAGCATCAAACCTGCACGGAATGGCCGACATGTGTGGGCTCTGCAGAGTCATGATAATTTTCTTGTGAACAGGGGAGATAACGTCAACTCCTCTTTTCATATTGCCAACGAAGATATAGGAATCATCCCAACCCCATATTCCTCTGCTTCCACAAAAGAGAAGCTCATAAATATCAATTCCCATTTTCACCATATGTATAGATAAATGATATTCTGCTGATCATGTAAGTCCCTTTAAACATTTGGAGACTCAGTTCATTCTGATTGGAAGTTAGGCATGTAATTGAACAAAAGCAAAACAAATCGGCCTTTGAAACTTCTCCAGAAACCATACCTGAAGGTAGAAAGCCATCTGCCAGTCTGATTGAAGTGGAATAAAGTCGATGCATTCTCAAAGTTAGCTCCATCATATATGCCAATTGTATCGTCCAGGCTGCATTGAGAGGAAAGAGTATTTGAAGATAAAAAAGGCCAATGAAAATAGGCAAATCCAAGTCAAATGCAAGTATCCATTTACTACCGCATTAACTGAATGCTTGAATACTGCAGAAGGAAAAAAATGCAGATATGCAAAATTGACTGAAGGAGATTCTCCTTATTGCTTGCCATGCTTATTTTGAAAAGTTTGTTGGAAATAAAATATACTGATAGTTATAAAAGTAGAACCTGAGAGCATGCAAAAATTAAGAAAGTGAACGATGGTATATCACAGAGCACTCGGGTAAGCATACACTTAAGCTATGTCTTGTAAACTTACAAAATTGAAAATACTAATTACCCAAAGAGGAGCAAGTTCCATACCTTGTAGTTGCCAAAGAACGCCCAGAAGGGGAGAAGTAAGCAGAATGCACAGCCCTTCGGTGAGTAAATGTCCTCAGGGCACTCGGCTTAGACTTCTTATTATATCTCAAATCCCAGGTGCAGGCAGTTCCGTCGGAAGAACTAGTTGCCATAATGTGAAAGTTTTCTGGGTTGAAATCTATAGTATTAATCCTACTATCATGCAAAACCCATTGGGATGTACATTTCCCTGTTCTACTGTCCCAAATGGTCAAACCTCCAGGACCTTTGCCAAAGTATAGGCAGTTTGCATCGTTGTTTGGCTGTGACAGGGAGTACAAACTTTCATCACTTTTAAAGACGAGGTCAAAGATCTCTTTTTCAGCATCCATCAGGCGAACCAATCCATCATAGCAACTTGTGTAGATCTGCATTGACCGTAATGTCAAAACATTTAATTTGACAAAATAAGTGGCAAATAAATAAATTCAAACCGATTGAATTCCAAGAATATGAACAAATGCAAACCGGAAAAATATGTTGGAGAGGTAAATGTAGGAATTGTCTTTCAACCGAATTCAATTACAAGCTGAGGAAACAGATACTTCAGCGCAGTATTGGTCAATATTACATGCATACTCGTGTGAGAATGCATAAAGTATTAAACTAGCTATCCTTATCAATCGGTTCGTATGCTTCAGAAAATCTGCCTCTCAGATATCTCTAGTAAATTTAGCAGCTTAACAGTTAACACCCATCTTCCCAGGAAAGGAGATAAAAAGGGGGGGGGGGGGGGAAAACCTCATTTAACAACTGGGGTCAAAAGATGAATATAAGACCAGAAAAAAATTACTACTCTATTCTTCGAAATCCATATTGGTGAACAGCAATTGTTCCGATACCGCATTAACGCATACCTTGGACAAGCAATGTCTTTGAACCAAGATCCCAGAAATGGCAGCTGGATGGGGGTGGTACAAATGAACTTCATTTCCTTCATTACCGCCCGAATCACAATCCCAGAATCCAAGATTTCCAAATTTATCACCTGCCACGACCATTTTCACACTGCTTGAAGGAAAAAACCGTGCAGCAGTTATCCTTACCGGAACAATCCTTGCTATGTTCTCGGAATCCAAAGTCAGCGATTCCAACTTCACCGAACCTCCGACCTTGTATTCCTCATTTTTACTTTCTAAATCACAAGAAGTCCCAACGCTTCTTTCTTTAAAATCATCCCCATCTGCGCAGCTATCAATTTCTTCTCCATTCAGACGACGAGATTGAGCTTCCTTCTTAGCCAAACCCAAAACTGCTTCAACGAAGGAGCCGTCAAATTCATCCCCTTCGTAAGCATCTCTCATGGAAAGAGGACCCAGCACTTTTGCTGGTGATTTCTCAGTAACACTGACTGAATCCAAAGCGACGTCCTTTAAACCCTCCGAATCGGGTGGCATACCTCTGGTTCGCAAGGACCGTCGGATCACCACTGGGGTTTCCGTTTTAGGCTTCTTTTCAGATTTCACAGTGTAAGATTTGGAAGCACCCCTATTTTCAAGAAATGATGACACAAAACAAAAAAATCAGAGAATAGAAAGAAGCAATAACTAAAAACAGTGAGGCAGATAGGGAAGACCTTGAGCGCTTCGCTGCGGCGGATACCTCGGAGGCTTTGGAATGAATCTTAAGGGCAGCCAACATTTCATCATTGCGGCGAATATTCTCAAGTCTCTTCCGTTCGTAGTCAGTCAGATTCTGAGATGCCATAAGAATCGACGAAGTGCGGACTGCGGAGAGAAAGGGCGCGACACAGAGGCGAGACAATTGAGATATTTCAAAATATTTAATATTAAACCGGGGCACTTTGGGCTTATATAGCGTGAGATGCGCGGGAACTGAGACTGGCGGGAACGGAGGCTTATGAGGAGCCTACGTGGCTTCATTTTAACCAATCAATCTGATTTTTTGTTTTTTTTAAATCTAGATATAGTGATTTTTTTTTTCAATAAAAAAGCTACCATGATATTAGACACTATAACGTTTAAAAAAATTTTGGACTTCCATGTTCAAGTAAAATGCAACCTTGTCAAGTAAAATTTTGGACTTCCATGTTCAAGTAAAATGCAAACTTGTCAATTTCTTTAGAATTTACTTAATTTTTTTTCTTTCTTTTCCTTCCTAATCCTTATTTGACAACAGTGATAATAACAAAAATGACCACATAATCATAATAATAAAAATCATTATGATTGTGTCTGCAAGAATTACTATCTCCGGTAATAATCATGGGGCTAAAAAATATATATTTTAACCATAAAATATAAAACATCAATCTACTTTGTTTTTAAATTTATAGTTTTTTGCCGAGTAATTCCAGTATAAAAAAAAATCTTAAATTGCATTAAATTTTCATTAAAATATAATAACTTTCTAGTTTTACTCTTATTTAATATATACACTTTTCACCAAAAAAAAATTATCTACATTGTAATAAATAAAGAGCAAAATAGGATATTCATGCAAAAAATTTAATAAAATAACTTATAAATAGAATCAAGAAAAACCTTCTTTCTCTACCTTATAAACAGAACCAGAGAAGTATATGATTAAATATAATAGTTTAGAAAAACCAAATCATACTCATTACATAAATACATCCAAACAAAAGGATGCAACATAGAGACAAGACTATTGACAGATTTCAAAATCTTAAATTCGTTTTAATATAGCCACCCTCTTAATTCTCACTTTAATTCTCTTTATTATTTTAATATATTTATCTGGACTAGTGTTTATAACTGATAAAAAAAATGAATGTTAATATTACAATTAACAATTAATGAGTTACAACTTAGTATTACAAAGATGGCGTCACCTTCATCGTGCTGTCAAATAATAATACTTGAAAAACTCAAGAAGGGAATGCACATTGTCATATATAGCTTTGTGCTCCTCTAAATCTCAAATCAATACTCCTTTAGCTTTTTCACAAATAAAGTTGCAAATATGGTGTAAAAATCCATCTTCATTTTCATTCCTTGAACATTTGCTCACACTGTGTAGTGCTGCTGAATGTTGTCAATGTCAAGACCCTTCAACCTAACCACGGATTCAACATGTCCCTTGAGCGTATGCAGCTCCCTTAACCTGCAAAAGTTGGTAACAAAATTTGTCCGTGTCTTAGATTCCGTATGAGATTTTATTGAAACTATAATTTGTGTTACTCTTTCATATCATATATTCCCTCCGATCTTAAAGATAAAAGTTAGTTAAGTATTTACTTTGATTCCAAATATAATATCTAAATCCATTTTGTTTTAGAAATTAATGATTTTTTCCAAATCAATCTTATTGTTTACATATACTAAAAGGATTTTCATCAATGAGAATAGTTTCTAGTACTAATGATTAAAAAGGGTATTTTAGGAAAACCAAAACACATTAGTTACAAATACCTGGCAATCTCAGCTCGCTTTTTGGCCTGGTCAGCCAGATCAGATAGCTCATGGTGGTTGTTTTTGGAAGTAGTTGGAGTATCAAGACCATGAAGTGAACGTTGAGCCATTGCCCATTGAGCTTCCCTGTCTCCCTTACCATAATCCTTCTTTGTTGTGAAAGCAGTCTGCATTTATACACACAAGAACTATATGAAAAGATAACAATATAATATACACCTCTTGTGCATAACAATGTTATGAAACAGATTTAGACCTTGTTTTGGATCACGGTGTCCCAGGCTTTGTTAGTTAATGCAAGACGGATTATGAACTTGAGAAGATCGAGAGGGATGTAAGTGATAACACTGTAGATCCAGATTACTCCCGCCCATCTCCAACCAATACCTTGGATTTTGGCAAATTCCCAGTTAGCATACGCAGCAATGAGAGTGGCCACCTACATTTAACACATGGCAAGTCAAAAACTGGAAGTTTTAAAGTAAAATATGTTTCCATTAGTAATAATAAGTGTGTAGAAGTGAAAAATATACCAGTTGTGCAGCAAAGAAGGCTCCAACAAGCATTACTCCAGGGCGTTCTAGGATTGACCAGCCCCTTGATCTTGTCACAAAGATGAGTGCTTGACTGATTATGCTCACTTGAAGGTAAAGTGCTGAGTTAAGATGTTCTTCACTATCAGTGATATGCTTGACACCAAAAGTATCCTGAAAAAGAGGTGAAGCAAACAAAGAATTAGAATTTCATGTTAAAATTATATATTAGATGGCTTGTTTTGCTAAGGAATTTACTCACAGTGAAAAATGTGGTGTCATGAACAAGGTAGAAAAAGACAACAGTCATGATGGCCATGTAAGCTCCAAGAACAATACCAGTGGCAAAGATTTCTTTGAGCTTCCATGAATCCGGTAAAGGGGATGGTTTTACCCTATCCTTTGAGATAGTCATAATGGTTCCATCATTCAAGATGGCAATAATCAAGACCATGAAAGGAGAAAAGTCAAACTTCCAGATCAAAGCAACAAGCATGAATCCGAGCACAATACGGATTGTGATAGAAACAGCATAGATTGTGTAGTTCTTCATCCTCTGGAAGATGGCCCTGCTTGTTAAAACAGCACTTACAATTACACTAAGTCCTGGCTCTGTCAAAACAATGTCTGAGGCACCCCTGGCAGCATCTGTGGCATCAGCCACTGCAATACCAATGTCTGCCTTCTTAAGCGCAGGCGCATCATTAACACCATCACCGGTCATTCCACAAATGTGATTTCTGTCTTGCAACCTCTTGACAATTTCATACTTGTGCTCTGTAAACAATCCCACCATGATCAAAAGGTTGCGTTAGTCTAAGTTGGCTCAAACAAAGTGAATTGAAGGTTGGACTCCAAGTACATTTGGCCTAAATATTAATTTAAAGATTAAGTAAGCCAAGAATTCACATGGATTGATTTAGCCTACAAATACTTTTATGCCTATTCTGCATGAGTATTTCCTCACCTGGAAAAACTCCAGCAAATCCATCAGCATTCTCAATGAGTTCATCCAATGGTATAGATGCAATGGATGGGTCCTTGCTCTCACCAAGAAGTGAAGAAGATGGATACATGTTAGTTCCCATTCCAAGCCTACGCCCAGTTTCCTTTCCAATCGCAAGTTGATCACCAGTAATCATCTTAACATTAACACCAAGCTCAAGAGCACGACGGATAGTTTCTGCACTATCATGCCTTGGAGGATCAAAGAGAGGCAATAAGCCCAAGAACTCCCATGGATCTCCTGCACTTTCTTTGGTCTTTTCTGGAACAGACTGCCAACAAAGTAAAACCCAAAAAAACACTACGCTTGTTAGAGAAATTTCTTAATATACACTGTAAAAATAAATTTCTAATATATGCTATGAAACCCTTTATTCACCTGGCGAGCAACAGCCAAGGAACGAAGACCACGATCAGCAAATTGGTCAATCACAGCGTGGGCCTTTTTCTTAGCCTCTCCCTTAAGGTTACAAAGTTCAATAATCTGATATATATGAAAAGGTACTAAGATATCAGTAAATGATAATGATTTATTGTAACTGTAATGCTCCACTAACACATAGAGGAAGATCCCATACTTGCTCTGGGGCACCCTTGCTACTTCTATGCCAATTACCATTGCCATCAATGTAAGTAATGGCAGTACGCTTGTCCACAGGATTGAAAGGCAAGAAATGCACTTCAGTGATTCCTGCTCTTGCCTAGAATGTCACAACATAGCCCCATCAAGGAGTTAAGCCAATATGCTTGCACAAGAGTAAATGGTTTACAATATGATGCCCAAGTTTTAATCACTATATATACCTCTTTAGGGTCACCCAACATTCCTACAATTGATGCATCTATAGCATCTTGATTTTCAACCCTAGAAGCTCTGGCAGCGTGCAAGACAAGAGTATACTTATCCATCCCAACAGGGAAAACCTATATCAAAATCCTCAAGTTAGCTCATTTGAGTTTCAGGACAAACATATTTATCTATGCTGGATCTTTTACATTAAACACTGACCTCAATCAAGGCCTTGTCAACAGTAAGCTTGTTGAGAGTAAGAGTTCCAGTCTTATCACTACAGAGAACATCCATGCCTGCCATTTCTTCAATTGCAGTCATTCTCTTAGTGATGGCGCCTTGTTGGGAAAGGCGGTGAGACCCGATAGCCATAGTCACAGATAAGACAGTAGGCATGGCAATTGGGATACCTCCAATAAGAAGCACCAATAGATTGTCAATACCATCTCTGTATGACCTCTCTTGTATAGGGTACATCACAACTATCTCAATCATCATGCCCAAAGCAATTGAGCATATGCAAAAGTTACCAATGGCTGTCAACACCTAATAATTAAAAGCCAGTCACATACCCAACAAGTCCTAGTAGGAGCTTAATCAACTTGTTAGACAAAATTAAGGGAGAAACTAAGATAAAGATATACCTTCTGGAAGTGGCCAACATTGTTGGTACTATCTACAAGATGTGCGGCCTTACCAAAGAAAGTATGGACACCAGTGGCAATCACAATAGCCTCAATTTCACCTTGCTTGCAAGTAGAACCAGAATATACCTCATCCCCAGGATTCTTGGTCACAGGCAAAGACTCACCGGTAAGAGCAGACTGGTCAATCTTAAGGGGATCGCCTTCCAAGAGACGAACATCAGCTGGTACAATATCTCCTAATTTAATGCTAATAAGATCTCCAGGTACCAAAATTGCTGCTTCTTGCTCACCCCATTTTCCGTCCCTCAACACCTTTAAAAAATCCAACACCTTCTTTTTAGCTGGTGAACATGAAACTGAATTTCGGACCTGAAATAGTGAAATTTAAGTTACCTTGGCTTTGGGTGCAAGGCCAGCCATTAAAGCGGCCGCTGCATTTCCTGCATTGTTCTCTTCAATGAAACTAATGGTAGAGTTTATTATAAGCAACACTACAATACCAGTGAAGTCTTGCCAATCCGGAGGCTTGCCCTGTATTGTTTGAAACATTTTGTTTAATAAAGACAAATAAAAGGAACATAGGACATTACAGAGATATGTAATATACATATACGTACCCCTCCATTGGCCAATACAATAGCCATAACAGCAGCACACTCCATAACCCATGAAAGTGGGTTCCACATAAACCCCAAGAATTTGAGGACCTTGGACTCTTTTTTCTCTTCTAGTTTGTTAGGGCCAAATATCTGGATCCTTTTCCCTCCTTCTTCTGAAGACAAACCTTCCTTTGAACATTTTAGCTGCTGAAATACTTCCTCAATCGGTATCTTTTCCTGCACAATTCAACACAACATTATTAGCATTACAGTTACATATAAATATAAATATATATATATATATATGAATGGGTTTTTCTTCCTTGTGCTTACAAGATCCACATTCTCCTTCTTGAGATCTTCAAAAGAAAAGTTATCAGCCATGTTAATCTTGTCCCAAAAGAAATGATCAATCTCTCCTTCTTTCTAAAAACTCTACCATAAGCCCTGGTAGAGGTAGAAAGAAAAAGAGAAGGAAATGATATGGGTGCCCAATGAAGGTGACAGCAAATTTATTCCGAGAGTTCCTTTGCATTTATATGAAATGCTGGGAAGAGACATTATAGGCAAACGACTGATTCTCCGTAGATTGCTGTACCTTTTTTTCCGGCTATTATTCTTTGTTAATTCAGCTTCCTCTCTGCCATTTAGTTTTTCTCTGTCTAGTTCTATATGTGCCAATAAAAGAAAGCAGATTTTTGAGCCATTGATTTTCTTCTGTGATTTATCATCGTAACGTCTATGAGTAACAACTCATTCGAAAAGAAAGAAAAGAAGTTAAAGAAGGGAGTCAAGATGTTGGATGCTCTTTCTTACATTGACGTGGAATATGGATATTTTAAAATTAATGTATAATACTTTCTGATTCTAAATATAAAACATATTTTATAGTGTAAATTACATTACAAAATGAGTCTTATGTTCAGGATTGAAGGAGTAAGTGCGTGATTTTTTTATTTTTTGTGGTTGTGATGTTATAGCTTCGATCCTTATCACATTAGTCAATTAAATATTTGAATTTTTGCCAAGGTTGATTGTAGTTGTTTTTTATTTATTCAGGTGATTAATATTTTAAAGTGTAGAAGGAGGGATGAATTTCTCAACTTCTTTATCTATGTTTTTAGGATCAACAAACACTTCTGGCAATATCTCTTTTTTTCATTATTTTTATGAAAATTATTATAAGACTCCTAAAAGAAAATTAAATGCTAAATGCGAAAGATAATGTCGATCCATTCTCATTTCTTTGATGGGACTGGTTTGTCCGTCCTAAAAAATTGTCCTTCATTTAGACCGAGGGAAAATGTTCATTAACTTGTTGCGCCATTGTGTTTCTTATTTCCCAATAAAATATAGATATGATTTTATTGGTATTTAATTATTTTTAATCAAATTGGAGATTAGAATTTTATCTTTTTTCATTATACTTATATACTATCTTCAGTCATTAATATAAGAATTAATTAAATTAAATTAGTTATTTATAATAAATATATTATTTTTCCTATAATACCCTTAAGCATGAGTATTAACTAGAATTATTATTTAATAGAACATTTAATATGTACAACTATTACAAAAATTATTTTTAAAAAATAAATAAAAACAAGAAACAAAATGAATTATAGTTTTATAACCGGAGATAGCATTTAAAATGTAAGTCAAACATTCAATTGAAATATAAAAAAATAATTAGATACCTATAAAATCAATTATCAAGTAGTTCAAATCTTTTTGTATTAAAAAAATGATAAAATTTAGATCAAGTGACTTATGTTGTTGATTGGGTCAAGTTTCAGGATTAATTTATAAATACATATACATATTTTAACGACTAACAAGAGCAAAATAACAAGCATCCATATAAAAATTTACAACTTCTAATTTATATTATAAGAATTAATGCAAATGTTTACAAGTGTTTCGTGGATGAATTTACCAATACACATAACAACTAACAATATCACAATAATAAATATGATTAAAAAATTTGACATAATATAATATAATTATATATATATATATGAACAACTTTGACATAAGCATTGTCCTGAAAGAACTTTCCAACTTTATTACTCCATTAGTGTGACTTCCAAAACTAGTTTGGTATTTAAGAAAAAATAATTTGTTGATATAAATATATATTACTATTACGTAACCATTCATTACTAATTACGTCAACTCAAAATCAAACTGTTTTTAAAATAATACATATAATATTTTAAATACTTACAAATATGTAAAAGTAACTAATATAAATGGGAAAATCACAAATAAAGACTATAAAATATGAAAAATTACACATAGGGACCCAATACAATATTACTAAGGGTTTTAATAATAATATTATAGATTTTGACAATTTTTGTAAATGGATTCTTATCCATAATTTTTTAAATTCCACAGTCTTTATTTATGATTTCCCCAATATAAATTGCACATGAGCAATTGCCAAACATCATAGGTCATAATTGAAAATAGGAAAAATTAATCTTTTGATCCCTATAATTTTTACTCATTTGTAACTCAATCTTTATATTATGATTGGATACAACTCAATCCTTATAGTTTTGACTTGATTATAACTCAGTTTTTAAAATTTGACTCGTTACAACTCGATCCCTATATTTTTAACAATTTTATAATTTAGTCCCTCTTTTTATTAGATATATACTTTCATTTTTCAAAAAAAAACAAAATAAAATTATGAAATAGATTAAACCACAAGAATTGAAGTGCTTTAAGAATTGAGTTACAATTGAATTAAAATTATAAAGACTGAATTAGACTAAATAGGTGTTTGGATAGAAACCAAACTATAGTTTCAAAAATGCTTTTACGGTTTACGAAATAAATATGTAAAGGAATTGCTTCGTTTGGCAGAAAAGTGCTTCTGAAATCATGATTTGGAGGTTGCCAAACACCTTCTAAGTCAAAGTATAAAGACTAAGTTACAAATCATTTTTCAAAAAAACAAAAACAAAATTATAAAATGGATAAAATTACAAGAATTGAGTTGCTTTAGTGATTGATTTACAACTAAATCAAAACTGCAAAGATTGAATTAGACCAAGTTAAAGTATAGAAACTAAGTTACAAAGATGTCAAAACTATAAGAACCAAAACATTAATTTTCCGTCAAAAATATCAAAAACTTAAATATTAGAAGAAGAAAAAAGGGCTAATTCATTGCCTATTTATTATCAGATCATCAGTCAGTTGCTATGCTTAAATGCTACCTCCATCTTGTGCTACTTGTAATTCTCAAATTTAAATGGTACAACAAATAATAAAATTATTTGATTGTAGTCACGATAAATATGATATTTCTGCATTATTTACAAGAATAAAATGTGATCCCCCCCCCGGGGGCAATTCGAAGGTAGCAAACTAGAAATTTCTGCATCATACAACTTCCTTTACGTTAGGATGAAAAGTAACACTCATTTTTTTAACCAAGACTAGTAAAACCATAGAAGAAAGAAAGCGAGCTAATTTGGAATACGAATATCAAGGCATTAAAGCTCCTGACATAAGTCATCTTTTAATTCTTGAATTCCTTACACCCTCACAAAAAAACTCATTATATCAACTTTTTTCCCTGTTTGATGGGCATGATAACATAATTAAGTAAGAAAAGGAAGAAGGCCATTAAGAAAAATGATTATAATATTTTAGAAAAAAAAACATATACTTTTTATAATTAACTAACTTACCTAACTTTCTTAATCTAATCAAATTAATTAAAAAGATCTTACATCAAAGACTGGAAGAGTATTTTTGTACTTAGCATTCTAAGGTCGTGCCAGAGTTTCATTTATTCTACTATCAACGGCACAATTCCCACCGATATTGAATTTAATCCTCAGTTTTATAAGAAAGAATCATGCTCTAGCCCTCAAACCTAATTAAGCCATTTTAAGAAACACTTAAAAAGTATCAGTATATCCTCTCCAAACACTAGCACCTAAAACACATTCAAGATTACCCTGTACATGATTCTATGACCATACATTTGCTTATTGTACCTTCAACTTTAAGGTTTTGACTGCTTGGAATCTACCGTATGCCCTCTCCAAACACTATCACACATACATTCAAAATTACGTAACATGTGACTCTATGACCATACATTTACTTCTTTTACCTTCAAGGTGAAGCTTTTGAATACTTGTAATTCACCGAATTCTAACTTTTATCTATATCATAATAAAATACTGACTAATTCTAAGATCATCCACACGTCAATATAAAACCCATTTAGGAGTCATAAGCGGTGGCAGCTTGCCTCAAACTCTATGAGTGTCATAATAATCAGCTTTAACGGCAAATATACCATAATGCAAGGCTAATGACAGTTACATCGAAGAAGAAGGTTGTAAAGCAAGGAATTATCTAAGAACAAAAAGACAATCTGGGAATTAACTACTATGCATATGCTTAGTTGTGCAATGTTATCAGTGAAATCTAACAATGACAACTACTGTATGCATGCACGTACTTGGGCATAACTAAATTCTATGGCATAATCCGAGTTAAACATAACTCAGAACACTCACCATTCAGGTGTCAAGGTTTTTAGTGATGTTGGTTTTCCTCTATCATACACCAAAAAGTTAGGCCAGAGTTTCAATAACCCTACAACTGACAGATGCTAATCTATCGGGTAAAGAAACATTGCGGTATGCATACATGCGAGTGATCCTCCCAACTCTTTCACAGAATATAAGAAAACTTCCATCAATGATTAAAAAGAGCAGGTTAAAACCAAATTTCACATTAATAGCCATAAGAGTTATTCCAGAGTGAAAAATACATAACGGAAAAACACACACTCGTCAAAATCTCTACTCATTATCCCGCTAGCGTCAACGCATGGTTAAAGCTACAATCTTTCAACATCACATATAAATAATAAAAACTGCTTTAACCAGTAATAACAGATACATCCATCTTAGAACCCGAGCTTGGTGCGGCGCCAGTGCCTGCGCTTAGCATTATACCTGAACAAACACCAATGACATCATAAGAAGTTTTGAAGCAAACCACGACATTAACCCAAGATTTGCGAGGAAAACAATTCGAACCTGATGGTGTTGTCGGTCCTCATCCGAATCCAGTAAGGAATGGGCCTGTTCTGCCTCATCTTCTTCGCGAGCTTCTTCTTGATCCTGAAGGTCTTGTGTGAAGGCTATACATCAAAGAGTTCCAGTCAGGGCCTCTTAAAGTTGTAGAAAATACTGAACAAACAAAAAATATCAAGATACAGAAGCAGAGATAGACTACCATTTTCGGCTGCAGAAGATCGGTAACCAAAAACCAGAAGCCGCAGAAGTCTAAACTGTAACCCTAGTTTTAACATGAAGACCTAAAAAGGCGCCAGCGGGTGTTTTTTTTTTTGGGGTCAGGCATTGCCTGTTGGATTGGGCCACTCGGGTTAGCCTTCTCGAATTATTGGTAAACTATATTTTAGATTTTTTTTTTTGGCCCGACAACCTACATTTTACAATGAACTACGTTGCTTTCTTTATTTTCATTAAATCTAATTTTATTTTTTCCATTAAACTGCATTTAAATTTTATTTAAATTAATTTTTAAATATAATTTTATGATGTGCAATATTAATTTTTCAAAATTTAAACAAGTGATCTCTGTTTTAATTTAATTAAATAAAAATAAAGGTGATAAAGAAGCTGAGTGTAGTTCTTTAGACCAACATTTTTGTTGGCCAAAGTTCTTTAGACCAATATGATAGTAGTATCGTCAAATCGTTATTTAAAATGCGTGGCCTAAATAAAGTTGTAACTGTGAAAATAACTTGTTCAGAGGGATAAAAAAACTATTTTTGACCCAGGAAATAAATAAAATACTACTAACTTTCATCAGTTTGTTTTTGATTAAGGCCAAATAAACCCAACAAGTTGACGTTTGTGTTTAATAAGGTTTTGCGGACATGTTAGGCGAATGTTACTACCAAATTTTGGAGTACAGCTCGGGTTAACCAGTTTTAAAACGAAATACTAATAATTCCCTGTTTGGTGTTTTCCCCTTTACTGATTGGATGACTCAATTAATTAAGCATTAAATAAATAAATGCTTAAACTAAAAGTTGGTCATATAAAAAACTTCAAATAAGAAAGCATTAAGGTTCAATCAAAACTATTTATGACGTATTACTGGCTAACTTCATAAAATTTACCTGATTGTAAAAATATACATGAACGTTTCAAACTATTTATGAATGAGAGTTTTGTTTTCTTTTGAAATATTCATATCTACCTTTCCGTCCCGGTAGGTTCGATGATCATGGGTATTTTTGAATCCTGATCCAATGGGGGAAAAACCAAGTATGATTAGACATAGTAATTGATCAGAATCAAGAATCATTAAAATGAATCATTTGAAAAGGAAAGTATGGAGTTGATTACGTGAGCAGGTAGTGGATCAAATTTCTCTTAACCAATCAAGTAGATCTGTTATATATTCCTGAACCAATTGGATGGATCGCATCAAAATTGTTGTGGAAACTGAAGGTTCCACAGTTTCCTACGGTGCATTGCTGTGATTCAAAAGTCATGTCTTCCACTAAATGCATCCACGTAAGTACAATCCTGTATTATTCCATATCTCATCAACCAGTTCTCAATCAGCTAACATGACCATTCGAATTCACCATACACGATGATTTATAACACGTCTGAGGCCTCTTGTTTTCCATTATTTTAATTCTCACTTCATGAGGAAAACAATAATGCAATATATTATCTCTGATCCTTAATATAATATCTCATTTGACTTTTATTTTAGTTTTAATTATAAAACTCTAATCCACTTTGTCTTTCATATTTTTTTTTCCAAGATTGTATTTTTAATATTAATAGTTCTAACCAATATATTTGATTAGCAAAGATATTTTAGAAAAGACAACACCTATTTATTACAAATAACTAGCTTAACTTATTTTCTTAATCAACTCAAATTAGTTAACTAACTTTTATATTTAAGACCGGATGGAATAGTTCACCCTTAATTATAAAACGTAGGTTTGACCTATCAATTTTTAAAGATTGGTCCTAAGTCCTGTTAGGATTTCTCATCCTCCAGCGTTCCAAAGCTTAAACTTCTCCCCCATAATCCTGTTACCATTTAAGAGTCACTTAGAGTTCTCACCTTATACAGGTCAGGTGTGCTAGGATCTCTTCTTTTTCTTATTTCTGGAGGGGTTTCTGCAGAAGCATATATGTGTAGGTCTGAGACAATGTGTGCATAGGGTGGTTTTTGATTGTGTGAGATGGCAAAATTAATGCGTCATAACTCCCTAAATTATCTTTTTTAATCATATGTATTAGAATCACACTATGTGGGAATCTCTAACAATCAACAGGGATATTTAAAAAAAATATATAAAACAAAGTGGATTGAAATTTTATATTTATGGTTAAATTTAATTCCTCAACTAATTCTCATATTAAATATTAAAGACCCAAGGTAGTATATATTAAACATTCCAAAGTTTTCATTTTCTCAACCATCCGCATTCTCTAATTTTTAGCTCATTCCCTTCTACCAAACAAGACCACTAATGAGTGTTTACAAAATTATTTATACATCCTCCCTCGTCATTCATGAAATGAAAGAAAATTCTATTTCACAGTACTAGCTTAAGTCATTAGATTGGTTAAATTTGTTATTTATAATTAATGGATATTAGATTTTCTAAAATACTCTTGTTAATTATGTGTGTTGAAACTATATAAAACCTTTAATACATGCAATTAATAAAAATATTTTATATAAAAAATTATAAATCCAGAAAACAAAATAAATTGGTACTACTTCCGGTCATAATTATAAAAGCTAGTTGACTAATTTTGAGGAGATTAAGGAAACAAGTTAAGTTAGTTATTCGTAATAAATAGATGTTATATTTTCTAAAATATCCTTACTAATCATAATTATAAAAGTTAGTTGACTAATTTGAGAAGATTAAGGAAACAAGTTAAGTTAGTTATTGGTAATAAATAGATGTTGTATTTTCTAAAATATCCTTGCTAATCAAGTATATTTGTCAGAATTACCATTATTAGAACGACTACCTTAGAAAAAATTGATAAATATAAGAGATAAAATAGATTAAGATCTTATATTTTAGATTCAAATAAAAATTAAATAAGATTTTATATTAAGTATTGTAGATAGTATCTTATAATGGGGATAAAATCCAGCTTCTCGGTGGCATAGTTCTCAAATTTTGGGTTGAGAGGAGCAGCGAAGGAGGGGCAAAATTGAAAAATACTGGCGCCGCTTTTATCCCAGCAGATACAATGCCATTTCCAAAGCTATAAAACCTCACTTAAACCTTCTCTATCTTCCGATCCTCACTCAGCGTTTTCTTTCTTCGAATAGGGTTTTCTTGGACAATTTGGATCGACTCTGATTCAGTCACCGATTTGAGTGGTTAAACGCACTGTCTTTTTCCAGTCCTATAGCACATTACGAAGATGCCTCGACCATCAAAAAGAAAAGCCGCCTCATCAGCTGACGTCGATCTTTCTGTTTCACCCGGTACTTCAATTCTTTTGTTCTTGTCTGGTCCCCGTGGCTTCCTTCGAAGATCCCTCAAGTTTCCAAATTTTGCGTATTCGCTTCTCTTCAATGCCTCGATCGAGATGTCGATTTTTTCTTGTTTCCTATATCGACTAGGATTTATTTTCATCGTTTTCTCGCGGCCATAACGTTCTTCCGTGATTCTTGATGTTATTGGATGAGTTTGCTGGAATCGGATTGTTCTTTTAAGTTTAGAATCGTCGGTAGGTGATAATACCTTGTCCTTATGTGGCTCACGAGTTTGGAATGCTGAAGTTCATAGAAATTTCCATCAGAATCCCTACTTCAGATGTGTTACTCGTGTCCCATACTTTCCAATAGGATCATAACAAAACCTGACAAGAATAAAAGCTTGAGTTATTGTTTGTGTATTTGTGTTTGAGCATCGCTGTAGAAACGTTTCTTTGCATCTTTCTTTCTTTGTTCCTGTAATCATTGCCCCCCAAAGTTGATCTGCTGTAATGGTTTTATTTCATGTTGTTATTCAGCACCCAAGAAATCAAGAACAAAGCAAATCGACAAAGTAGGTCACCTATTTGATACATATGCAAATAAGTCAATAGATTTGATTGAGTAAGTATGTACTAATTGGATCATTTTCAGGTTATTGGTTTTTTTCTAATGTTATTTAGAATTGAGCAATTCACATACGGTCTTAATCTATACTCATCTGGTTACTCGGAATTTTGCTTATGTTATGCGATTGCCAATTGTTCTATCAGAAAAGAATAAGTGGTTGGTGCAAACTAGGACTAACAGCAAATGCCTAATGCATGCCCGCTCAAGCAATTCTATCAGGCATTTATGTCTGGTAGCTCACGGAAATTGGAATTCTGTTTCTGCATACATTTATTTTTCCTGTTTAGTGATATGATGACGAGAAATGTCTGGCTTATATTAAATCCGTTTTATTTTATTTTATTTTATTTTTTGTATTTTTTGCACATGGCATGGTATTGGAAGGGAAAGGAGCTTCTATAAAGTTATTTATTTACCCTATGTTCTCTATTTCCCTTTTAGCAATATTATTATTTTTTTAAGTCATCAAACTGGTAATACTAATTCTTTTACCTAGCTGCTTGAAGGGCTGACAATAACTGTCATAAAAAGCACTCAATTTTCAATTCTGTGGGGAGTAGCCTCTTTTTGTCTGCAAGAAATGCTGCTAAAAAGTGAAAAACAAATTTTTTTCAGAGTTTTAATCCCCATTCCATCATAGATCCATAGTTTATAGTGCATTAACTGGGTTGGGAAGACCAGTCTTGCCTAATTTATTTGAGAGGATAGTTCTTTGGTAGTTATATCTTGTTAAGGGCATTGATATCCCTGCTCTTCTTGCCTGTTCATCATGGCGCCTGGTGAATATCTGCATCTTCTTATGGCGAGAAATTGCCCAGACTGGAGGAAAACTATAACAGTTAAAATAATTTAAGATATAGGCACTTCATGCATGTTGTCTCTACTCTTTAAAATGAATTGATCTCTGATATTTTTCTTTGGACAAAAAAGATTTAGAACATTAAACAATAATTTTCATCCATGCATTTTGATTCGAAAACATATATATTAGGAGCTTGTATGCTGTTTCCCTTATTCTAGCTAAAATAACAAAAGTGGCAGAATGTGTATATTTAATTTAGTAACGAAGTCTGTCTTTTGATGTATGATGTTTTGGGTACAAATGATTTGTCGATTATTGTTATACATATAGTGGCTTACTTGGCTGGGATATGCTTCTATTTGGCTCCAACTGATGTAAATTTTTATATTTTGGTTCGCAGTCCAGCAGGAATTGAATCCCTTTGTTCAGATTTAGGTGTGGACCATACAGATATTAAAATTCTGATGCTTGCTTGGTATGTTACCACTGAGTGTTTGTTTTTGTGCTTTTCCTTCCTATAGCAAGCTGATCTTTTAACATTTGTTAATAAATAAACTTATTCAGGAAAATGAAATCTGAAAAGCAGGGTTACTTTTCTAAGGTATGCGCATTGTTTCAGTGTCATTTAGTTGTACTTAGTAATGAATGTTGTGATAGACAAGCACGTTTGTCGTGTTAATTTTTCATGATCGATTGCATGGGTTCATTGTCACAGACTCGGGAAACTCTTGGCTAAGTACTTATGCATTGATAGTTTATTTGAGGTGCAGTGCTTTCAAGCCTCTATGTACATTTGTTCCTTCTCAAGTATTTGTAATTTTTGTATAGATGAGAATCCAAGGCGATAGCTTGTCTCATCTTGGGGAATTCTTATAGTAGCAAGAGAGATTCAATGGAAAATATGTTTTAGATTGGCATTTCCTGCAATGTTGGCCAATATGGTTATTGTTAGCATCTTGAGGAGAAATTCCGTTGATCTATTGAGGGGTGCTGTTTAAAACGTCATTTGTATATATCTGATGATAATTTTTCATTGCAAAATTTACAATGAGAAGTAATAAAATGAATCCCAAAATATTGGATACTTGATGCTGTGTAGGAAATTTTTAGGGGCTATTAAGTTTGGTGGGAAGGACTTGTGTTTTTTTTACGTGTTAGGATTTCTAGTCTGTCGTCTGCATTGTATTCACTGCATTCTATTTGGTAAACAGTTTCTTTTATAGCCGTATTGATATTTTAGATACCAGTAGTCATTGGTTAATTGGTTTGAATTTCTGTACCATTACATTATTAAAATAGCATTTGAATAGGCCATATTTACCATTTTTATTCAATAGGATGAGTGGCGAAGAGGCCTCAAATGTTTAGGGGTTGACACTCTACCTAAATTGAAAAAAGCAGTCCTTGGGCTGGATAAAGAGGTACCTTTTTTTTCATTATTATTAAAAATTGCTAATTTTTGTCCTCTCACATTCTGATTTAGACCAACCATTGAAGGTTTTTATTTATTTTACTTCCTACATGTTCTGATTAGGTTATGAAATCAGGCTACTTTGAGGATTTTTATAACTTTGCATTTCAATATTGCCTAACAGGTAAGCTTGGTGATGATGGGGAACCGGGCATTTATTACACTCTTTTCAGACTTATTAATATAGAATATAAAATGTATAGAGAATGGCAATTTTTTATGTCTATAACCTGTGCATAATGTGGCTCATATCGGGTTCTCTGCATTTGCACGGGGCCTGCTCTAGTTGTTCTTAACTTTTTATGTCTCTAAAGTGACATGAAATAACTGTTTCAGAGGACATGCAGAGGAGTGTAGATATTGAGACCATTTGTGAGTTGTTGAATATTGTTCTCGGACCCCAATTTCCCACCCAGGTCAATTTATTAGTTGAGTATCTACAGGTAGGTAACATCTTTTATCACGCTTCTGTATTTTCGGAAGCGATTAACCTGTTTATTAGTCTTTTATCTTGTGGATTTTTTTTTTTTTTTTTTTTGGGTGTGTGCGCTTCATGATATAAAATTATATGCATATGCTGAGGATATTTTTCTCTGAATATCTCTAATATGGCAAGTTCTGGGTAGAAGAGTTTTCTCTGAGTTAAACCTTTTATAATGCGCATTATCTTATTCGGTCCGAAGATCTTGCTCAAAAGATGTTTGATGTCAAAATATTATTCCAGGAATTATTTTCTTACAGTTGAACTAATTTTGTGGCAGATACAAAGTGACTATAGGGCCGTCAACTTGGATCAATGGAGTAGTTTTTACCGTTTCTTTAAGGAGGTAATGCGGTTGTAACCTTTCCTTGGATTTAGTAACGTGCAATTTTTACTCATGAGTTTATTATATGAGGTTAGTTAGGGTTCCTTGTAGGCTAGAAGATATTGGTATAGCATTAAAAAAGAAACATTGTAGTTTAACTCACGAGAAAACCCAGGATTACTTGCTCCCTCTTTCCCATATAGTCTTGTGAATTGAGTGCGCAGGTGCCTTCTGCCTCCATTCATATTTCAGTCAGTTAAATACAAACAAGGAGTTCATGCTCGTAATCTGCAGATCTGGTCCCGGCTAAAACTCAAAATGTCTATAAAAATAGAATATCATTTATGCATAAATGGATGCTTGGTAGAATTGATTAAGGCAGGCAAGCCTTAACATGGCATGTGGAGAAATGTTATGACTTTTTTGTCACTGCCAGGTAAACTTTTCAGATCTTGGAAGTTATGACTCCATGCTAGCATGGCCAGTGATCCTTGACTCTTTTGTTGAATGGTTGAAAGAGAGAGAAAATAAAAGCTAATTTCTTGCTCTTGCAATTTCCGATCATCTTGCACCGCTGATGAACCAGAATCCACTTGAAGTAAGATTTCCAATTGTATATGAATGTTCCTGATTGATACTTTTTGCGGGTTTTTTTCTGCAAAAAGTTTACATACAGATCCGATGTAACATCGACTTCATATAGTGCCAAAAGCTACCTCAAAATTTCCAGCTGACATTGATATACTCTTGTTAAGAAATTTTGTTATGCCAGTTGACATTCTGTAACATTTATTTATTCACATGATATTTATTCCATTCAGGAAGCTTCTTCCCTGTTTGTTCACTGACATTCTTATATAAAATTGGAATTAGAAGCTGAATGTGGAAGAGTAATCAACTGTGTAGTCCTCGAGCCTTTCTTCCACCTGTTCCTGGCTATCTGTTAATGAATTTTAAAATATGTGTCAAGAAATATCAAGACTTCAATGGCTGTGAAACTGAAACCCACAAAAAAGAAGAAAAAATTCCCTGGGTTTTTGCTTTCCTTTTCCTTTCAAATGGAAAAGGTCTGTCAAAATCAATTTTGAAATTGGCTTGCATTACTACCTCCAATTTTTAATATAATATTTAGTTTGTAGTTCAATTTAAATTATAAACTAGGTATCATGTTAAGGAAGGGATGGAGCTAATATTATTTTTAAAAAGGGGTGTGGGGTAGGGAAAGAGTCTCATTTATAATTTTTAGAACAGATCCAACATTTATACCTTTTTCTATATCTGTGCTTCGGTTTTTTGAAGAACTCTTCGCGATCCCTATTACTGCTACTTCATAAGCCTTGAACTATATACAGGAACCTTGCCCGACAACCCATTTGAGAAATCTCAACCTTATAGTTTAGTTTTTCAAGATCTACTTAAATGAGGGGACGAAAGAGTGGAGGAGGTTCATAATTAGAATTAATACATTACAAATACATAATTGGACATTTAAAACCCAACATCACATACAGTAACTCACTCACAAAATTCTAATAATTTAAATTATTACTTATGATCTCCAACTCTCGAAATTTAACAAAGTTTTAACGTGAATGACTACTTTTATGATAATATACTGCTACCTCCGGTCCTAAATATAAAAGCTAGTTGACTGATTTGAGTAGATTAAGGAAACAAACTAAGTTAGTTATTTATAATAAAAAGGTGTTAAATTTTCTAAAATATCTTTGCTAATAAAGTTTGTTGGTTAGAACTATTATTATTAGACGGATTATCTTGAAAAAAAATGAATAAATATAAGAGACAAAGTGGATTCGAGCCTTATATTTAGGACCAAAATAAAAGTTAAATAAGATTTTATATTAAGAACTGAAGGTAGTAATAGATAGGACAATAATTCTGAAACATTAGTGACATTTGAACATTATCTTAAAACAACAGACATTCAAATGCGAAAGTTAACATTCAAATTAATCCTGTCATTAATTCTGAAATAAATATAACCAATAGTCCACCGCCATTTTAAATTATAATTAATCAATTTATTCCACATTATCGTTTCCTTTTTTAATTCTACTTTTACATATTATACGTATTGATATAGATGTATAGATGGAGAGGGATCAAAAATAACTGGAAGCATGTCAAAGCAGGGCTTCAAGAAGTCAAAGATAACTAGGGGAAGATCTATGCTAGATGGAAGTGGGAAAAAAGTGGTTGCTTCATAGCCAAATCTGCATACAAAGCTCTAAATCGCCCGTGAGAGAAACCGACTACCAACTGAAACAATATATGGAAATTAAAGGTTCCACAGCGATGTAGATCATTTGCGTGGCTGTTGTTTCATGAACGGATCACCACTAACCAACGAAAACTGAATGAAGGCCTTCACCCCAATGGTCTTTGTGATAGGTGCGACAATGAAGTGGAAACAGTAACCCATGCATTGAGAGATTGTACGGTGGTTCGGAAAGTCTGGGAGAATATTATCAAACCTGAATATTTATCCCGGTTCTTCTCTAGTAATTTACAAGATTGGCTTCAGCTCAACATGAGGAAACACATAGGCAGGTTCAAAGGCGATTGGAGAGGACTTTTCTTCATCATGTGCTAGTTCTTATGGAGAGCAAGGAATGAGTTCACTCATTCAAATATCAGTACAGACCTAAGTACTTTGACACCTAGAGCGTCAGCCATTATGCAGAGTATGATGAACTCGATAACGAAGCTGAAAGGAGTAAATATGAACACGCCCCAGCAACAAGTCACTAAACCTATCTCTGAGCACATGCAAGCAGCTTTTGCCGTAATGGTTGATGGTGCGTTCTCGGCCTCCACTAGTAGGGCGGCTTGCGGGGGCATTATTGTTGATCACCAGAACATGAACATACGAGAAGGCTTTCTTCTGAATTTGGAAAGTGGCGACCATCTCACGGCAGAACTCTGGGGGTGCTTGATGGGGATGAAATGCGCATGGGATATGGGCCTAAGAGATGTGATCTTACACAGCGATTCCTCAGAAGCTGTACAAACCATTCTCGTCGAAGAAAACCAACTGCATGAGGACTGGGTTACTGTCAAAGAGATCCAGAATATGCTTCGGTGGAATTGGAGTGTTAAGCTTCAAGTTATTCGAAGGGATGACAACTCAGAGGCGGACAAGCTAGCAAAGATAGCATTGAATGGAGCTATGGGACTGTAAGTGCTCAGCAAGGAAGTGGTCACGAGTTTGTTGCAGACTAATAATGTAGTTTAATCGTTTTTCTTTTTCTTCTAGTGTATCAAAAAAAATAGATGTATGGATGGATGATGTTATCATAATTTTTTTATTTTTTACCATTTCTTTTTTTAATCTAATTTTCATTTCATTTTTAATGAAATTTTTTATGCCAATTTAATTTAATTAATGTCATTATGAAATGTCGCTGCCACATGTCTCCATTAGACTCATAAGTGGGCCGAACTAAATTATTAAAGGCCAAGCTTAAGCCCACTTATTGATGGGCCTACACTGCGCCACGATGGCCCATCTTCGTGCCTGTGTCGTTTCTCTCTGCTCCTTTCTATTCGAGGGGCAGCGGATAAAATCTCGTCGCCGGAGATAAAACGGCGGCGAGAGCCTCGGCCGTCGATGTACAGTAACTCGGGTTTCCGTTTGATTCAATTTTTCCTTGAACAGTCGCCTAACTTGCCTAAAGATATTCTTTGGGGAGAAAAATTGACGGAATGTTATTGCCTGCAGTAATCTGCGCTGTTGCAGTTTTTACTGTTTAACACATCGTAGATTTTCCGCTCTGTGTTTTTTATTTGCTTTGATTAATTTGTCTTTTTTACCATACTGTCATCATAAGATAGTGCACGATTATATATTTTCTTAATTTTCATTTACGGTCAGGATGTAAATGGATCCATAGGGTGATTGATCTGTCTACCACCAGCTCATGGAGCAGTTAACAGTTCTTGCCATGCTTTGTAAGCTAGATTTGGAAAGAAAGAAAAAATCGGGAACAATAGGATTTTCTTGAAAGCTAAGTTGGTAGCTAAGGATCAGACAAAGTGACTTGTGTCGTTTAAACTCCATTACCTATTTAGAATTCACCTCATTGTGCACCTTACAATCCCAGTATCACATGAGTTTTCTATTTGCAATCCCATCGTCTTCTGAGTTTAGCTCATTTTTGAGGATACGCCTTTATGTTGTTTTTGGCAGTCTTGGGTGATGTTGAGGCTCGATGTTTTTTCTTTTTTCTCTGCACAAAGCTAGATAATTTCTTCTTTCATTGCCAAGTGACCATGTACTATATAGGTCCACATATCAAATTATAGTTGTAGTACTGGATACTGAAATACTGATTCTATTGATCCTGCACAATTTTGATGGGTACAAATTGTAGCTTAGGATACTGTATGAAGGAGAAAGCAGATGTAAGAGATGGGATACTGTTTTTAACTCTTGTTATTTCCTTTGTTATTATAAATCTAGGACGAGCAATATCCTTATCACGGGAAACTAGTTCCATTGTTTATGGTCGTGGTCACTTGCACTGAGAGCTGGCAAGCCTGGCTAAGATTAGATGAAAATAATGGTAGCTGATTCTTACAAAACCAAATACTTGCCTTGGGTTTTTTTTCCGAGGATCAAAAGATTGGTCAGTGAGCATGATGAAATTTATTTATTAGTACCTTATGTACTTCTACCTTCAATCTTTAATATAAGAGCTAATTGACTAATTTGAGTAGATTAAGGAAGTTTGTTAAGTTAATTATTTGTAATAATTAGGTGTTGTCTTTCCTAGAATACCTTTACTAATCACGTGTATTAGTTATAACTATTATTTAATGGAACATTTGACATGTACAACTACTACAAGGACTACTTTGAAAAAAATAGATAAATATGAAAGACACAGTAGATTGGGGTCTTATATTTAGAATCAAATTAAAAGTCAAACTAGCTCTTATATTAAAAACTGGAAGTAGTATTATGATACCGAGATTACCTAGAAATGCAAGCTAATGTACTGAAAGGCTTCTAATTTGTTCGGGCAAAAACAACAAATATTCCTTTTGCTTGTCCTTGCAAACTGTGTTCAAATAAGAGTCTACTGAATAATCCAGGAGGTATCATTTGCCAACATGGCACATCTATCTTTAGACCTGCACTGTCCCATGACATGCCATATAATGATCTGAAATTCTGTTTTTTTCTTTTCCTTTTTTCAAGTACAGTGCATAACTTTTGCAGTGCAAGGTTCTCTGCTATATCATTTTCACATTTTGCTTTTCCTCCTGGACTGTAATTGCTGCAGTGCTTTGCCAAATAACTGGGTCCAGTTTGGTCATGAACAGCTTCTCATTACTTAATATCCAGCGCACAAGGACTAAAGGCAAGCTATACTGAAGCTCCACCTACCTTTTAATGATTTGATGCTCCCTGTTTCATCTTTTTCTTTCACTATATTATGTAACAGGTTTTGCTCACATGAAGGAAATGACCAATTCCTGGACTTCCTCGATTAACCTACAGTTAGTAAATATTAAATTAACCAGTTTTTATTAGAGGGATTTACTGACCTAAACAAGGATAGTTAAATCAAACTAAATCTTCCATTGGCATTTTAGCATGCATACGGCAGCAAAAGTGCTTTCAGCATGAAATAGTTGTATATTTATTTAAACTAATTTAAGAAGCACTGGGTTAATTGATTCATATCTCACAGTATCCTAAACATTATGGTATAAAATACTGAGGTATATTAAATAAGAGTATTAAAAAGAATACAACGTGAAATTTTGATGATTTCTATGTAACGTGAGATATCATCCAGGAACTTTCTTTGGACATTATTGAATATTAAGTTCTGATTCACTATTCTGCATATCATTATTTTTT